TGTTATACTTTTAAAAGGTATGAACAATTATTTATTTATAAATACGCGCGACACTGCCAAATCATGTCTTTCTTCGAATGTCTATTTTAGCAAAGTATGCATGTTTAATCTTTGTAAGTGGAAAGAAAACGCGATGGAATTTTTGCATACGTCGCATTACTTCAACGTATGTCTGTATATGCATAATACGTAAAAGTATGTACGTAAGTAATATAGATATTACCATGACAAGCAGTAAGGGAGGGAACCAGATATACATAATATACATAGAAGGCAATGCTATGCACTCTAAATAAAGTTGCACAAAAATTTCTCAAGGTTGACCGGAAATCCTAAGACGAGGGATAAATTTTAACTTTTATATAGTAAATTTCACAATCAGTTGCGTCAACGCAAAATTTTTCTCACCCTTTAGACTCAATTTAGACTTTGAAGTGGTACTGATTTGGTAATAACTTCGGGATGGGTAGTAGTTTCCGAATGGTAAATTTATCATTACAATAACACTACTAAACAGTAATGCTCGTTATTCCTATGCCTGTAGAGTCTAAGAGTCATACATATTTATCTTACTCCCAACTTTGTACAAAAATCGCTTTTTCCGCTGTTTTAAACCGCACTGCGCATGCGATTCCGATCTTTTTTTCCGCTTTTTTGGCTCAAAAATAAAATCTACTTTAAGTTGATTTTTTTCCTACTTGCGAGCGAAAAATCAGTTTTTTGGGAACATTTTAACCGGAGGGTACCAGATTTTGATGCCCTTTGGATACGTTACAGTCCTTGGCGAGTGTATCAAAAGTGAAGGAGGATTTTACTCCTTGGCCCATTTGCGCCAAAAAAATTGGCTATGTAAAATTAGGTTTTCGGCGATGGTTTGAATGTGGAAGACAGGACGTTTTTCAAGCAGGCATTTTCTCCGTTGTCCGTCTTTTGCACACATCAACTTCCACCCTTCATCTTGCACACTAATGATCTCCACACGTAAATTACTTTCAGCAACCAATTGGAGGAAAATGTAATGCCAAGAAACCCTTATCTATATACGAACGTCACTTCACCACATTTCTAAGAGTTCATGTTATTCGTTCCCCGTTTACTTGGTTTCACGGTTCGCTTGACAAAATCCTTGAATTGAAGAATTTCAATGTAGGTAAGGTCATGTTATATTAAAATTGAGTAGGATAGGATATGTACTATGCGGGTGGAGCCTAATAGTGAAAAACCATAGGTTTCCTTACCTCTCTTGTCCTCAGGCCTACGTTTTTTCACTATTAGGCTCCACCCTCAAAGTACATGTCTTACTCAATTTTAGTATAGCCAAAAATTTCTCCGTATGTCTAAGATTTTGAAGTATGGGCAAATGGATCATTTATGCTGGAGGGTTTAGTTATAAAGAAAATAATATATTCCATGAAGCATCATATTTATAAGCATAGAGCGTCTCACTTACATGCGCATAATACATACCGATTTTAATTTACCATAAAATCTCTATTTATAGCCCTATTCTGCCCCTGCCAGTCTCAACTTCCTTCAAATAATGCTGACGGGAAACTTTGAGACTGGAAGTGGCGTAGTTTCTCAGAATTCTCAATTCCTGTAAAAGTTCAATCATGCATGGATGTATCTAGTAGTACGCCAGGGATTTCAAATAAATCCGTTTTTCACATCAGGTCCATTGCCATAGCTCGTGGAATTACTTTGTAATTGACGAAATTTAAGTAGGATCGGTATCAGAAACGGTACCTATGTAAAAATTATTCATGTGCAGTTCGTGATAGATTGAAGTATTTCATTTTTCTTGTCAACCAAACTCTCTCAGCACAAATCACATACATATTCCAAAACTGAAAATCATAATACAATTTGAGAAATTTTGAGCTGACATGACCCTACCTAAAAATCCCCAAAGCATTCAGTCAATAGACCCTGGTTGTCATATAACACGACATATTAATATCCCTCTCATAACCTTGTACGACATATTTTCCTCGTATAGTTTGTATCAAACTGACGCCAATATTTTAGTCCAATTCGACTCAAGCTTTCAATCCTACCTACAAAAAACTCGGAAATAGCTAAGATTGTACTAAGCTACAAATTGCTGCTTCATTAAAAAATGCATTCCTTCTCGATATCACTTATTCTCTTGACCCTAGGAATTAGGAACACGGTAGCCATCGACAAATTTGAGCTCCATTTCATTGTGGACAGCGGGGAGGAGGGTAGGTGGGAATCTAGATTACAAAATTTCTTACCCCTTTCGTACCATCACAATGTTAAAATTATACGAAATTCTAATCTCCCCTCAAATCACATTGCCTTCATGCACAATGTCAACAATATTAAAAAATATCCCGGTTCAGAAATTGTATTTATTTCAAACCCGTCACTATATTCTGTCGAATTCGATACTTCTGTTAGCTTAAAAACCGATTACATCTTTGTCTTTCTGTCTCATCCATTACGCTACGAGGATAAACTTTCAAATGTTATCAGGGCGTCCAAAACAATATTTTTCGGCGCAGATGGGATTTTCATTCCGTATTTTCCTTTCCGCAATTTCACATTTGTTAACAGCCACATTTTATCATTCGATATGATTAACTCAATTTGGCATCGACAAAACGAGATCGACATGCAGGGAAATATTTTCGCTGTTTTATTTATTAGCAAGGGTATTTTAATTTTTGACAAAACAACTTCTTGTGGCCCAAGCCTAAGTAAATTGGGCATGGAGACTTTGCAATATTGTCTGAGTTATATGATAGGAACGCAACTCAATTTCACCACGGTGCACAGAAATCCTGTAATCAATTCTGTCATTACAAACGTAAGCTCGACCATCGCCTTCGGTTATACCTTAAACGGTGGTTCCTTGCAAATGTTTTATAGACGTTATATTTTACTCGGACAAACTTTTGAAACGTATAGATTTTCCATAATAACACAATTTCCCACAGCAGAAAGTAGTTTTGGGAACATTTTTACCCCATTTGATCTTTGGACGTGGATCTTAGTTTTAGCTTGTTGTATTCTAATAACTATTGTAGTTCAATTTAACCAGGATATTCGCAATCTCCCTAAAAGCAAGGCAGAATATGGCGCCAGATTCCTGCGCGATTTTATTACATTTACGTCAATTTTGATGAGTCAGAATAGTAGTGATATTGTGAATTACAAAAACAGAGAAAAGCTGTTCCGATGCTTCCCGTGTGGTTTTTGGGGTGCTACGTTCTTATGCAAAATTTGTACCATGGATCAGTCACGTCAGACTTGACGGTTACGCCTTTTCCCGTGGTTCCCAGAACTTTGAAAGATTTAGCGAATTCTAATCTCACAATAATCACATGCGGCGCATCTGCCACGTCAAAGGGGGAGTATGAACCCACGATACAAATGCTACTACCACCCCGACCTGAATCTTGGAAGACAGATTTGTCACTTTGGGGCGATGAAAAATTTGTCACCTTTCTGCGCACCTTTGTAAACCGATGTATCTTCGTGTCGCCCGTAATCTATGATTTGGCCGCGATTACGAGTAATATTTCCAACTCGGAAATCATCGCGACCAAGGAGGCGGCAATTCCGACGCATGATACGTTTGCAGTTACAGACGTTCAAGCTGGCTTGTCCCTGTTTACCTCTATAATTAAAACACTTGGAAAGCGGTTAATCCTCGACAGCCTGCACGATCTACCCTTCCAATATCTTTTGGTGGACATTGGCAGAAACAATTACATTTCGCCATCAATATCCAAATGTATTGTGAGATTGGCTGAGTCGGGAATATCTGGGAGATGGAAAGCAGTCCATACTATGAGGATAAAGCTCGCGTATATGAAGTATTATGCACCCAATTTGACCAGAAAATTATTTATAAAATTCAATTCAAACTTTAAAGAAGCAAGCGTGCAAGTGTCTAATTCTCACGAGAGCGCGTTTCCAGCGCTTTATTACTTTCTCGGGTTATGTGGCACGATTATTGCGATGGCCGTGTTCACTTTACTGGTTGAGTGCAAACTTGCGATCAAGCGTTTTCTAGCAACCGTCAGACTTTTCATGTGGCACCTTGGCGGTTATATAGGCTACTTGGCACGATGTGCGGTATACTAAAAATCTGCATGTTGTGAAAAGAGATTCTCCAACTCATCTGAGTTGAAGCGTCACGTGGAGGCGAAACATGCCACTAATACAGAGAAGATTCATTCCTGTTTTATGTAATTGTCATGTCCGTCTGTCTGTCTGTCCGTCTGTCTTTCGATAACTCTTGAACGAGTTGACCGATTGACTTGAAATTTTTACCATATGCATATTGGACAAAGTTAGGAAACGAGTTCGAAGATGGGCGAAATCGGTCCAGTGGTTGACCGGTGGGGGTCATCGGAGTGGATGGGGTATTATGTACCAAATTTTCAAAATTTTCGTAGAAAGCTGAAATTTGGTACAGAGGTTGCTAATGGCCCCTAATAGATAAAAATGACTTCAAGTTGGAAAAGAGGGACCCTATGGGGTGACCCATATTGATTTTTCGAAATCGTCATATCGAGCTAAATTTGGCAGAGAGGTTGCTTATGGCTCTTAATTGAAGAATATACGTAGGAATTAGTAAAAATTTCATCTAGGACCATATTGGGTGACCCCCACCGATTTTCAGAAATTAACATAGAAAGCTGAAATTTGGACCAGAAATCCTTACTTCTTTTTCATGAAATAATATGAAGTTAAATATGAACAAAAATTAATCAGAAGGGGTATAAAGACGACCTCCACTGGGAGGGAAGTAGTCAGGGGGAAGGGATGGTAAATATTTTTAGAATTTGGAACCTAGTCATACGAAGGATTGATGCAAGAATTAGTGCAAAATAGTAGCACATAATTTTATAGAAAACTACTGATAAATATGGGTTTACAATCCCTGGTTCGGGCTAAGCAAAGCTGTACTGATAGGTTTTAGAAATTGCGAATTGTTACGAAGCAACGAAGTCAAGACACTTCAATCAATCAATCAAATTTATTGCATATTCGGCCAACGGCCCTTGCAGAAATATTAGAATAATTTTACAAAATTTGTAATATATAGTATGGAATTTAGGTTATGATTATAATTAGATTTTCCGTAATGTTTACACTAAAGCATGTTAGTCAGTGCACATGTCAAGCATTTTTGATACGGACGTCCAAAATAAGAATATAGCTTTACAATGATCAATATTTAAAATGCTTTCTTTCAGTAAATTGACAAGATCAGTTCCGTGATGATTAGTAAGGGAGAAGTTTAGTCTAGACAATAGAGTTGCACGTTCAAGAGAAAGGGGTTTACATTCAAATAGGAAATGTTGAGCTGAGGTTAGATTGGTAGATGTGCAGAGTGTACATTTCACTGTTAAAAATGTCATCAACTTTATTTTGTGTTAATATTCGGGTGACACTGGCTGGGGTAAAATTTATACGAGTCAGCATTAAAAGCTCTACCCATTACCAGGTAACACGCAATACAGTGCCAGAAAGGGTAAGAGTTACAAAGTTACCCTGGCTGGCATTGTGAGCAACCCTGTAAAAAGTTGCCATTATATTTTAACTCGGTGCGAGATTGTAAATGGGCGGGATTTGGTCGAGGCTGCCACTGCGCTCCATTCATTCTTCTACTCCTATACATCTCGCTTCAGCTTATTGGCCAGTCTTTGTGAATTCTTAATATTTGAAAAATTCCGTAAATAGTAAATAACGTAAATTTCGAAAATGTCATACGTTGAGGTGCGACGTCTTCTTCAACAGTGCGGTTTGGAGGATTATATCACCAAGTTTGAAGGTAAGTAAATTTATTTAATAAATGTAGAAGCAATGTAGAATTAAGTATTCCCTAAATTTAATTCATATTAGAATCTTTCCTCCGTATAAAATTTTTTATTTTTATTTGTTTCCAGAGAATCACATTAACGACGAAGCAGTTTTGGAACTTTCCAAAGAAGACATGGTCGATCTCGTTCCAAGTATAGGACACAGGTCAAAACTCGTCAAAGCAATTCATCAACTAAAAACTGGAGCCGTCTACGTATGTTTTAAATGTCGAGATAGTTTTGGTAACTTAGATTTATTGTCGAGGCATTTCAAAATTGTACATAAATTAAGAGGTAACAGTGAGTACAGGTGCCCACATTGCAATGGACTTTATGAAAGGAAAGCTTATCTTAAACATTTTAGAAATGTTTTTAGTCTTCATACTAATCTTTTTGAAATTAATTTTGACGATTGTAACAATCAGGCAGACGTATTAAATTGTGAAGTAATACCGTGTACACCATGTCCCATAGATTCCAATTTAAATAGCAATTAAACCAGATCAACAAATCATTTCGAATTTTGCATTTCAAAACTGTTTGCTGCCTTACTGGAATCTGGAAAAATTCCATTGCTCACTTGTAATAAGATTGTTTCAGTTGTAAAAGAAAGTGTTGAAGAGGCAATCAAATTATGTTGCTCAATAGCTGACGAGCAATTTCAATGTAGTTCTACTAGAAATTTTTCGTTGAACAATGCTCCGTTTCAAAGTTTACTGGCAGTTTTTGACAAATTTGGATCTAAATATAAAATGGACAAATACTTAATTGCAAATAAACTTATGATCGAGCCTAGAGAAATTGTGCTAGATAGTGACATTAGTTTTCAGTCAAAAAATATGAAATAAAGATCCCAGGTGTATAAAGCAATTTCAATGCAATATGTATCTATTCGCGACTCAATTAATCAACTTCTGCAGAAGCCTGGATTTCGAACCATTTTGCAAACACAAATGTATAGCCATGGGCAATACTTTTCGTGCTTTAGGGATGGCAAATTAATCAAAAGCTTTAGTCAAAAACCAGAGAAAGATTTTATTTTTATCAATTTGTATTACGATGACGCTGAGGTTGCAAATCCCTTGGGTAGCAAAAGCGGAAGACACAAAATTGCGAATTTTTATTTTTCAATACTAGACATGCCACAACATTTTCTTTCAAAACTTGAAAACATTATGCTAGTTGCGTCAGTAAAATCAGAAGATTTAAAATTGTGCTCCCCAAATTCTGTGCTCAAAATTATCATGCACGAATTGAAAGAACTCTGGGAAGATGGAATTAAATTCAGTGCTAATGGCGAGGAATTTAATTTTAAAGTAATTTTGGCGCAGGTGTCTGGGGACAATTTAGGGCTGCATTCCGTTTTAGGTTTTTCGGAAGGGTTCAATGCAAATTTTCCTTGTCGTAGATGTCGAATGCAGAAAAGGAATGCCAGACAACGTGCACTGAGGTCAAATCTAATCTCCGAAATGTCGCAAACTTTGAAAATGACATGATAATTAACAATTTGAGTGAAACCGGATTGAATTTTCGCTGTATTTTAAATTCTCTTCCGTATTATCATGTCACAATTAACTTTGTATTTGACATTATGCACGATATATTTGAGGGCGTGGTCCCAGATTTATTTCATGCTGTAACTAACTATCTAATTTCTGTTAGGAAGATGACTATTGACACATTGAATTACAGAATAGAATCGTTTGATTTCGGGCGACACTACAATAAAAGTCGCCCTTCACAAATTAAACCATCTTTCATGAAAGGTGACACTAAATCCGGACAAAATGCGTCACAAAACTTGTGTTTGGTTCTTTTCCTTCCGTCGATTTTGGGAGACCTCGTGGACCCATGTGACAAAGTTTGGTCTCTCTTTCTGCTTCTAAACGAAATTGTCCGAATTTTGTTAGCAAGCAATATTTCCAAGGGTGGATTGGTACTCTTGGACTCGTTGGTCGCCGAATTTTTGCATACATATCAAGTCTTGCTGAAAAAACGTTTAAAACCTAAACAGCACCATATGATTCACTACAGCTCCGCTATTAAGCAGATTGGCCCTCTTAGATATTTTTGGAGCATGCCTTTTGAAGCTCGACATAAATTTTTTAAGACCACTGCCCACGCCAGTGGTAATTTTATAAACATTTGTAAATCTCTTTGTTATCGATTTCAACTCTCCCGTTGTTTCAGATTAATGGGCGTAGACGCATTCACTCCTCACAGTTTTGCATTTAATGGCTGCCAAACAATTTTATTGTCAGAAGTACAGGATAGTGGAATAATTGCAAAATTATTTCATAAGAATTTGTTGGATCAAATTACAGTGACCGAGAGAGTGACGCACAACGGATCAAATTTTGAGTTAGGTAGTTTTGTTTTGTTAAATTATTGCAACAATAATCCTGAGTTCGGGTGCATTAAATTGATCATGATGGAAGTGGAAGAGTGCTATTTGTTGGTTAGTAAATATCTACGCAAATTCATTGATCGTGTATCTGGTTTTCAGCTTTTGAATTCGGATTCCTTGTTGGTGATAAATATTAGCGCTATAAAATATTTCCAATGCTTCTATGAGACGATTTCGTTTGAAAATGACACACAAAGATATAGTATATTACCATTTAAATGTATATAGTTATGCATTTACAAACTTAATGCTATGCATAGATTTCGACTATTTTAAATTAATTCTGTTCGTTAAAAATGAACGTATGTATATGTATTTATGTAGAAATCGCAATCGCCAATTACGTTATTAGTTAATATTGTTTGTATTTATGTTGTATGTATGTAGGAATCACAATCGTCAGTTTTTAGTTATTCATTTATTGATGAGAAGGAAATGAGAGAAAGGGGTCTAAATTTATCACCAAACCTGTTCCGTAAAAAACAAGCTGGAAATTTGCAAACCTCACCTGGCTCCAGTCCGCAGCTGATTATTGTTGTATGATCTTACTTTCAAATTTTGTTATTTTATTTAGCTGTGTAAAATTTTAAAATAGCTAAATTTGATTACAGAATCAACCACAGCAGAACGTTAATCAGGATTACATCAATTCGGAACTCACTTTTAATGTAATTTCAACTTTGGACGAACTATCCAGACCAAATTCTCCAGTATTACCATCAGCCATGGCTAACGCTACATTAGTGAATAATGACCAGCTAATTACGATGACGGAGAAATTCACAACAGTGCAGGTGAGTTCTTATACGTCCAGGTAAAAGTTTAGAGTACAATTTTTGCGCCTTCACTATCATAATTGTAACTATTTTAGGAATCCCAGTTGGAAACATATGTTATGCCGGATGTAAACCAGCGAGCGATCGTTTCTAAACCCCAAAAGCCATATTATGGATTTGTAAGGATTTATTGACAATAAATAACTACCTCCTCGTTAATTATAAATTTAATATAATATTTCATTGTAATGTAGGATCTTAATACCATTTTGAGAGACAACGAGCAGGCCCGACGCATCGTGGAAGAAAAAATTCCATCTAACGAATTCATACTTCGCAGCGACCGCATAGCCGTATGTAATGTTCTGATTGACGCAATCATTAAAATTCTTGGGACAAAGTGAGTCGCCACGTATCCATATATGTATGTATTATTTGAACTTGAGGTTATATGATTTATTTAAATTACTAGCCCAAGTAAGCAAGCAATGGAACATCTGGCGGTTGATCTTGTAAAATCTTATCCATCGCTTGGTGACCCAAGAAAGAAAAGTCTTGGGGCCTGTATGTGGTATCAAAGTTCGGCATTTGGGGGTGGACCTGCTGGCTTCCTCGAAGAAAGGTTGAAAAACCAAAGGAAGAAATTGGAATTAAACCATGTGGACATTGTTGATAATGTTGACATTTGCACTTTATCCTGGGATTCTGAGAATGAAGAAGGTTTGTAGTGGAAACAAAATACGAGATAGATTTTTTTAAATCACATATTTACTTGATTACTTGACAGAAAATCCAGAGCGGGATGAAAAGATTTTGGAATATCTTCGCCAAAACAGAGGAGAAGGTGTAATTTCCAGTATGAAAACTACGGTTTTTATGCGGAGAACTGTCATCAGACATGAACTCAAGGATAATTTAGCTGGTTTCCTGAGACTTCCGGGGATTCTTCCACGTTTGTTTGACATGGAGGGAATGGTAAGTTGAATTAATTTTGCGTGTTGTAATCATCTTATGGGGATTTACTTATATGATTTTATTAATTTAATGAGCAGATTGTACAAGACTTCGACTTAAGGCATCCCGCGCTAAAACTCGTCATCTATGATCGCTGGCCTAAGGCGTCAAAACTGCTGCTGAACTACGCGGAGAAAAGTGGCGTGGATTATGTTAGAAAACTAGATATTCATAAACCACGCTGCGATTTGACTGACAGTAAGTATGCATATATTATTAACTAAATTTCTTCCGTCAAGTAAAATTCTCAAGCTACGTAATGGTCAATAATGCGATTGATAATTTTGCAGATGACGTGTCCTTAATGGCTTATGCCCTGCTGCCTTACATTCTTCCGTCATGCGCAAGAAAAATCGCAACAAGAGTGGAAGTCGTAAATGAAGACGAAGATGAAGTCAGTGCACCTCAGCCAAAACGATCCAAAAGCAGTAAATTGCAAAAGGGCCGAAACAAGGCTCCATTAACCGCCCAGTCTAGAACTGTGAAGGCATCGGATCTCGACTCGAGGAACAGCTTGATTTTATTCCGCTCGGTAACAAATTAATGTATTATTAGATTCTTCGCACAACGTAGACTAATCGTATTTCAATATTTTCAATATGTGTTTTCCAGAAAAATACGCATGTGTCTAGCGTTTTAAGTGAAAATAAGAACCCTGCACCATTTATATTGGCATTGGGATCGACATTTGACCTCAAGATGGAGTCATTCTTTGTAATTTTGGATAAATTTGCCATTCCTTGTGGAAACAGTTTCATGTTGGCCTTAGATACCTGCCTTAAAAGTTTTACCGTTTTCTATCTGCCTCCTCCCGTCGAATCAAAAGGTGTTTGGCAATTTCTTCAATACGGGATTGCTGGAAAACCTTGCGAGAATGAAGTTTTGTCACCAGCCGTACAAGCTCTCATTGGACAAATAATGCCTAGGTTGTGATTAATTATATAGTCAATTACATATGTATTTGTTATTCAATTAACCTATTTGTTAATTAATAAATGGGATAAATATTTTAAAATGCGAATCGATAAACGAGATTTAGCTTTCATTTACTGCATTTTAATATTTAGTAGTATTACAATTAAATTGACCCCTTCCAGGGTAAATTAAACCAACTGAAACTCAGTAAACGTAACCCTGTTCAGCATTGTTACCACCGGAATGCGTTTACCCAGGCGTGCGTAAACTGCATGTGGCTCCGAGTAAACTGCGTTACCCTTCTGCCTTCGGGTGCTCTGCAACCCTTTCTGGCGTAAGAGCACTTTTAATCCCACACGGCATAAGATTTTACTCGCACTGGCGTTAAAACTTTTAACAGTGTTTGTTTCTAGTTCTATATAGTTTGGACCTAATTTGATACTAAACCGGTTAAGTCGGAGTTGGGCCATCAGTTGGGCGATGGGCATAGAAAAGGTTCCGGAGAGGTAGTTTGGTTTATCAGGGCAGGCGCTCATGTATTGATATAGGGGGATGAAAGAGGAAACTTGTATCCGTTTTACATCCGCTTGGAGAAAGTGTTCTCGAAGATTGGTGACTATATCTGTTTTAAGATTGGTCAGTTGAGTGACATCCTTAAGAATGGACACATCGGAAAAGCCAGCTATTTTAAACATATTTAAGGGTAGTGATGACCAAGTTTTAAATTTGTTGGCTTGTTTAGACCACTTGAGTTGTTCCATTAGACAAATGTAAGGAAGGGAGGATGGTGGTCTTTTTAAAGTTCTAATCCAAAAAGCCAGAGTCGATTTCACAATGGGGATCTGAATTGGTGGTATATTTGCCTCTTGTCGGAGAAAATAGTTTGGCGCTGATGGTGGGAGACGAAGGAGTGTCTTCAAGAATTTAGATTGAACTTTTTCTAGAATTTTCTCTTGCCCCCACCCCCAAACTGGAACAGCATACAGAAGGGTAGATTGTACAATAGCGTTATATAACTTGAGGTGAGTTTCCATTGGGGGCACTTTGGTTCTCTTACATATATCCCAGATTTTGGAGAGAGCTACATTAGCCTTTTGACGAAAGTCCTGTGCTGTTTTGGAGAAAGTAAGGTTGGAGTGGAAAGTGACACCGAGGTATGTATATTTCATCACAATCTCTAGCTCTGCACCATCCCAGGTAATTTTCGTGGAATTCCACATCTTTTTTGATTTCCGTTTCGCAAATATCATAACTTTTGTTTTAGAAATATTTACTTGCAGTCCTCTGGCCTTGAAGAAGTTAGCAGCTATGTTAATTTTTTGTTGGAGAGCGTGGGCAGAGTCGGCAATAATACAAATATCATCACAGTAGAGTAACAGGTGAATCTTGGCATCACCCATCGTCACCGGAAACTGGTTTTTTTCTAGAAGGGTTACAAGTTCGTTGATAAATAAATTGTAACATAAACTCGAGCTGGGTTCACCCTGAAAAACACCTTTCTCCATGGGGAAAGGATCCGTGATGCCAAATGGTGTCTTCACTTGACCTTTGGCTTTGCTGTAAAGGTTTCTGAGGACTCTAATAATTTTGGGGGAGACTCCTTGCTCCGAGAGAACACTCCATAATTTGGCATGTGATGGAGAGTCGAAGGCAGATTTAAGGTCAATGAAAGCAGCGAATAGTTTACATCCTGGTTTTCGAATTCTGGATTGGATAAGTGTAAGTAGGGAGAATACATGTTCCAGCGTTCCCATTCCTTTTCTAAAGCCGGCTTGTTCAGGTGCGATCTTGTTGTTGTTGTCAGACCACGCTTGCAGTCTTTTTGTTAGGATGGATGTAAATAATTTCAAAATAGTTGCGGCAAGAGCAATGGGTCGATAATTGGATGGTTCATTTTTATCTCCTTTTTTGAAAACTGGTTGGAGTAGAATCACTGACCATTCATCTGGGATGGAGCCGTCCTCCAAGATTTTGTTGAAACATGCGGCAAGGTTACTTATATAAGCCGGTGTTAATGCCTTCCAGACATCTGAGGGTATGCCATCGTGCCCAGGGGCTTTTTTTGGTTTAATTTGTTTGAGGGCAGAATTCAGTTCATCATACGTGATGGGGGAGCTAACGTCATCATCAGAGTAGGTTTGACGAGGATGCTCAGTAATTTGAGTGTGAGCAGTTTTCTCTTTAAATAGGGATGAAAAGTGGTCAATCCAGGAGGTGGGGGTAACAGGTGAAGAGGTAATGACTCTTGGTCGCAGTTTCTTGATCGTTTCCCAAAATTTATCCGGTCGTTTATGATTAAGGAGTGATTTGACGTAATCTTGGGTTTGTTGTAGTTTTTTCTCTCTTTTACATTTCACATAGGAATTTCTTCTGGATAAATATATTTGTCGTAGTTCATCAGTGGGATCTTTTCTGTAGGCTCGGAGACTGGAGCGGGCTTGATGTTTTAGTAGTTTGCATTCGGTGTCGAACCAACTTGTTTTCGTTATTTTGGTACTGGGGGAAATTTTTATATCTTTAATCATTTCGCATTCAGTGAGAGATTGTACAACATTAGAAATGAAGGTGGTATATGGGTTGGAATCATTAGTTGGAGGTAGGCAGGTCTTAAATTTATAGGTCAAGAAGGGGTCCCACTTTACTCGTGTTATTGTTGACGTAGATATTCCTTTTACTGAAGTGAAGGTTGGCAAAGGAGAGGCGCTGTTATTATTAATCTCAAGTTGGATAGGATGATGGTAAGCGGATAAGCAGTCATTGACATTAAAATTGATTATTTGGTGTAGAATATTATTGGAAACGAGACAAATATCAGGAGAGCTGGCACCGTTCGCGTTGGTAAAGGTAAAACGCCCTGGAGAGTCGTTGGTTGCAAATCCATTTAAAATGCATAGATTATTGGAGTGGACTAGTTTCATCAATTTTGCCCCTCTAATGTTACTGGTTTTGTCACGGCATTCACGTTTCATCTCGGAATTTGTGTCTGATAAATTTGGGATTTCGCCGGTTCTAGCGTTGAGGTCACCTATGATGATAAGATTAGGTGTGTTAATTGTTAGCTCAGATATTGACTCGCAAAAATCATTAAAATAGGAATCTCCTTGTTCATTTGGGGGGAAGTAGCAAGAGAGGAGGGAAAATTCATCTAAATCTAGCTTTATGGAGGATTTGGTTGTTGAGATTTGGACAACCTTGATTCCGCTCTTAATTCCTAGGAGGAGCCCCCCACTTTTCCTCTCTTTAGTATTTATTCTGGTTGCCTCGACCGATACGAAGTTGTAAGAAGGCAGGAAGTTTTTGGTGGTGTATGTCTCCTCGTCGGAGCACCACGTCTCACATATAAATAAAATATCCGGGTTCATATTAATAATTTCTTGATAAAAAGAGAAGTCTTTAGTCCGAAGTCCATCCACATTCCACGAGATAATTCGCGTTGTCGTAGAGCTATTTACAGGGATTTCATTAATTTTGCAAGGGCGGCCGAATCCTCATGAGGAATCGCGTCGTTGTTGGTTGGGTCGGGGACGATTTGGAGGTGCATGTTTGCCTTTAGCTCTTTTGTCATGGTGCCGTCATCCTTAAGGTCATACCAGTCCTCGTCCGCTTGGATAGCATAATCATAGACATGCACCTTTTTTGCTGTCCCGTTGTCTATAAATTCACGCCGTTTCGCCAGTAGTTGCTTCCGCACTTTTAGTTGTTTGGGTGTCAGGTCATCTGTGATTGAGAGACTTGACCCTTTCAGGAATTTATACTTTGATTGGAGATAGTATTTTTCGCTAACGGAGCCAAGAGTAACGAGCAGTGGAGCCTTCGGTCCTTTCCCTAAGAATCGAGAGTGGGAGATGTGGATCTTCTTGTTGTCAGCTTTCAAATTGGAGTGCACTATTTCTTTGAATGTGTCGTTTGTTCCTACATCCGGATTTGCTTTCACACCATGTATAATAATGTTCTTCCTTTTTTGTAGATGTTGAGAGATTCAACACCTTCCTCCATAGCTGTAATTCGTCGTTCAAGGACCTTCTCACGGTCTTGTGAGGATTGCAGACTTGATTCTAGCCTCGTTACCTGTTCTTGCAAGCTTTCGATCAGCCTATGTAACTCTTTTTCCCCTTCGGTCAGCTCAAATGTTCAGTTGGATGTGTTGTTGGTTTTTTACCTTGTCGTAACAGTTGACGCCTTCATGGGGGATTGTTTTTTATTTGTAGGTCTTGTTCCTGACGATGAGGATGAGTTGAGGGTGGAATTTTTGTTCTTTCCTGACATGATTGCAGTGGATCAGATTGTGAACAATTTAAAAAAATTAATTGATTATTCAATTTCTCTTGCCTGAAACGGCTCAAGACTGAGCATGAGAGTGGGCAGCCTACGTGGGTGTGTCAATCAAACTCCTTGCACAAGCAGGTAGCTGTACACCACTCCCCCCTTAGGTAAAAACTTAGAGAGATCCACCCAAAGAATGGTTGATGAAAGGAAGAAAGAGTCCAGGTTAGTCCCAAATTAGAAAAGGGTCAAAATTTCCCCATCCGCCTGGTCACGAGCTGGAAACCTTGCTAAGCGCCACCCCCACTCACTAGTACACTCACTGAGTCATTTTTTAGCTTTAAAAAAGTAGTGGATAATTTAAAACTTTGATAAAACTAAAATATTAAAAATGGTGGTGTTGTGAGGCGGAGCAAAGCAACTGAGTCCTCAGGTACACTCATGTCAAATCTCCGAAATTACGATATGAATTATTGCAATCAACTTTAAACTTTGAAAACAAAAAATCGAATTAGTAAAAATTGAAAAAATAGTAAATCCGAAACGTATAAGTAAATTTTTAGTCAGGCCTGTAATATAGAAACAAAAACAATTTATTCTACTCTTTCCAGTATTGCATACTAAACGTCTCACTAACTGCGTCCTACTGCAGCTGTACTGATAGGTTTTAGAAATTGCGAATTGTTACGAAGCAACGAAGTCAAGACACTTAGCAAATGACAAATTTCGGGAAATTTGGTTCAAATGGCTTGAATTTTGCAATGGGAAAAATTTGCAAATTTAGTAACTATGTATGGGTAAGTTTTCGCCGGAAATGTACCAAATAAGAAATTTCAAAAATTTCAAAGGCCAAAATAAGCGAAGATTTATAGATATTTTCCATTGAAAAATTTTCTATACTTGTGAAAAATATTTTGCGAACCAGCTACTGAAGATGGGCAAGTTCGGAAATCAATTTGCAAGCTATTTTTTACAACGCTACTAAACATACGAAATCGAAATGAATACCCTAATTAATTTACCTCGTGATATTTCAAATGCTGCATTCGTGCAAAACTCCTCCCACAAGTGGCACAACTGTGCGTCTTCTCCGTCGTATGGGTGGAAATGTGACGCTCAAGGTTTGGTCTGCGTTTAAATTCTTTACCGCAAAGTGAGCACGGATATTTACCCGGATTTTGGGAATGTTCAGCTTTTACATGTTCCGAGAGATGACCCTGGTTTAAGTAAGTTTTCTCACAGGCGGGAAATGTACATGGAAAACGGGGTCGTTCACTAGAGCCGTGGACGAAAACGTGCGGTGACAAAGATCACAAGTGGGACGTTCGCGGTGGGTGTGATTTCTCGTAACGTGGGCAGCCAGGCAGACCCGGTTTTTCGAAACTTTCCCGCAAATCTAGATCATCAATACATTTTGATAGTAGGATTTGCTAATTGCGTAATTTAAATGGCACATATTTAAATTGATACCTCACCTCGCATTTTATCTTCGCATCAGGATCGTGCGTGACAACATGATTGTTAAGGATCCCCTTTTTCTTGAACGTTTTTGATCACTTGGGACATTCCCATGTTCTCTCGGGTTTAAAATCCATTTTGAGTTTGTTATAGCGAACCTGCATACGTATCAAGCTAAATTTTTCAAAATGTCTTGTGTGTTTATCGCCAGCGTGTACATACACATATTTGCATACAATTTCTGAGCACACAAAAAATCTTCAACTCTGTTTTTAGCTCTTTCTCATATTTCTAGTACTTTTTTATGTAAACCTATTTTTTTCGTCATGGTACGTCATATGACGAATTTTGTATGCAACGGATTTTTTTTGATACGTGATATGACGTATTTGGTCTCTTAGGGACATGTTTTGAAATACGTAATATCGCGTATTTACGTGAAAAGAGGTTAATTGTATTATTTAAATTGGTTAATTTAATATTTGTTTATCGATTGTTTTAATCGATGTTAGACTTAGGGACCGCTGCTTGCTTTCTGGCCGAACTACCAGATTTTCAGTAAATTCTTACTTTATCAGGTCTACGTTTTGGGGACAGAATTTTCTTCCATAGATGAAGATTAGGGTTTGGGGGATATTGTCAGAAAAAAATCAGTGCCGATAACAAATGTTCTTTTGTGTACAGATGGGAGGATTTATTGGAGTGCTCAGAAATGTTATGTACACAATGTAAACCAAAATTCGAGTCGTACTTCAAGACTGTTGTTACTTAATCCATCCGAGTATTAACAATGAATAGTGTACTCTGTGAAGTACGTGGTGAGTAAATACTTTTGATCTTAAAGTGAAACAGATGTATCGTATCGGTTTACTTTGCCTTTTTTTACAAAAATAGCTGGAGGCCACGATTTACATGCCTGAGTAAAGTTAGAATTTGAACCTTCACTCCAGGCGGTTAACCGTTTGTCTCATGCTAAAATCTACATGCAAAGGGCTTTATGTGAACCCTTGTTCTGTAATACGCATACTTCCCCTCGGTACGCATTCGCATGTATTTTAGAAATTATATTCATGTTTCACTTTGTGTTAGTCTATTCACATTCAATAAATATATTTTTTGTACGTGTCTCCTCATTTGCATAAATTTCACTATACCAATTTTCGGCTATACGTACTATCCATGTTGAACAAACTTCATGCCTCTCGCGAAGCCATCAAACTATGCAAATGAGGTGACACGCACAAATAATTCCACTATACACGTACAAGGTGTCTGGCGTGGTTAGTTATTTTTATCTAAAGCATCGTTAAAAAATTCAACCTTTTTGTCCCACGCACAAAACGAGCCACACACTTCACCATTCAGGCTTACGCAACCAACTTTCCAGACATAACTTAAACATTAGAGACAAACTAGAACACCTTTGTACCCAAGCAATAACGGGAGAAAATTTTAAATAGTGTGAGAAACATATTGCTAATTTTCTCCACACAATTTTTATCTAAGTTTCTTCAAAATTCAGGTAGAATTTCCCTATAAATACATTTAGAGAATTCAATCATGCACGTAGATAGTTTTTAGTTTGAAACCCACGAATCGAGATGGATCTCACACCACGGGGGAAATTTGCATGCTCCACGTGCCCTAAAAGGTTCAAATGGAAGAAAGATTTTGATAGGCACGTGATCACACACGACCCCGACGCCAAAGTTAAATGCAAGGTTTGCAATTGTATTTATTTATGAAATTGAATTCGAGTTCTCACTTTACCCCTCTTTTCACTTGTTTAGATATGCGGGAAAATTTCCAAGAACCCAATCGCCTTGTCTTTTCACATGAAAAATCTACACACCAACCGGAAACGGCCCATTTGCGACATTTGTGGGCATGTTTTTCACAACTCTCCCAGTTTACGGAGACACACCGAAGCCATGCACAGTACTCATGAACGACCCCGTTTGCCATGTGCGTTTCCCGGCTGTCGGAAAACCTTCCTACGTAAGCAACATGTTTCGAGACATGTAAAAATCGACCACGCCGAGAATCCGGTCAGATTTCGGTGCACACTTTGCAGGAAATAATTCAAATTGGGAATGCAACTTCAGCAACACATTCCCACCCACACGACAGAGAAGCCGTACAATTGTGCCACTTGTGGGAAGAGTTTCACCCTCAGGGGAAACATGAAACGTCACGAGGTACATAAATCAGCTTGGTGCGGAAAAAACTAGGTGAAAATGACCAATTCGCATATTAATTTTACAGGAGACGCACTTGGAAAAATCTACCCGGGACAGGTTACAATGTCAGGTCTGTACTCAGACTTTCTTAAGTAAACTTGCCGTACAACGCCACGTCCGAGCTGTGCATGAAAATCGGAAGAAATATCCGTGCGAATTTTGCGACAAGGGATTCTCTAAGCCATCAAACTTGGAGGGTCACGTGGAGGCGAAACATGCCACGAATAAAGATTTGATCCATTCCTGCGACAAGTGCGAGTACAAGAGTTACTCAAAATTCAATTTAGCTTACCACGTGAGACGTCACAATCCTGCGAATTTGCGCGAGTGTTACTTTTGCGGGAAGCAGTTTGTCATGTTCCAAGAATTGGTTAGACACTCTAATCGACTTCATACTCTTGAGGTGTAAAGGATTTAATGTGTTTAATTTATTGTGGGAATAATTTTGGATTTGGTTCATCGTACGTATGTATGTAGCAATTTTCATGTGAAAGCGATGTACTAATGTTACATGTTTTTAACTTTGTTGAATTATCCCTTTTTGTTTATTTTTTGAGTTATGTAATGCCATTCAGATGTGAGCTGCGGTAGGCACTTTTTCAAGTTGCAAAGATGAGCTTAATTGCATTTTTAAACAAACATAAACATTTACTTTTCTGCATAATTTAATACGATACATAATTTATGCAAGGGCGTAATCATTCCTATGTATAATTGCCGAAATATCTGCGTTTATATATAGGACCAACATACGTAAATATTTATTATTAAGTACTCACAAATGTACTCATAAATGATTTAATGACTTATGTTCTATGTATATTGACAGTTTAAAACTTGACAATAAATTTATTTGTAGTAAATAAAAGCATATTTACTGCTAAAAATTCTACTAAAAACAATGAGCGTATACATATTCACGTCAAGCTTCGCATATTTAAGGAGGAGTACGTACGACCTTTTCAATGCCAGATCTTGATGCCCTTTGGATATGTTGTAGGTCTATACGAGTGTAGAAAAAGTGAAGGAGGATTAAGGTCCATGGGCCCTAGTTCGCCAGCCACACCCCTTTGAAAGGGCGCCCAATGCCAAACTAGCCGCACTAAAAAATTCGCCAAAAATTCAATTTTGCTCGGATTTTCAAAATATTTACATATTCTTGATCCCAGATAGTTGCTTTATCATATCAAACATCAAACCCAACTTTTTTGAAATTTCACACTTTTTCGATACATACCCCTAATCAGAAGATTTTCAAAAATTTCAAAAATTTGAAAAGGGTCGAATTTGATGTTGGATATGATAAAGCAACTATCTAGGATCAAGAATATGTAAATATTATGGAAATCCGAGCAAAATTGGATTTTTGGCAAATATTTTAGTGCGGCTAATTTGGCATTGGGCGCCCCTTCAAAGGGGTGTGGCTGGCGAACTAGGGCCCATGGACCTTAACCCTCCTTCACTTTTTCTACACTCGTATAGACTTATAACATATCCAAAGGGCATCAAGATCTGGCATTGAAAAGGTCGTACGTATTCCTCCTAAGATTTATGCTGACGAGGTGACCCGCAACAATAATTCCACAATGTATATGTAGACATCGCTTGGAAGAAAGTTTGAGTCAAAGGTATTAAAAAATACATACATACGATGGCCAACAGCATTCATAAATTATTTGATCAGCAGAATTTTGAATATGAACAAAAATGTGTTCATAATCTATATGTATATGATGGCGGAAGTTGAAAGTGGAAACCACATTAAACTTTTATAAGTTATAAACAATTATTTATTTATAAATACGCGCGACACTGTCAAGTTGTGGCTTTCTTCAAATGTTTATTTTAGCAAAGTATGCATGTTTAATCTTGGTAAGTGGCAAGAAAACGCGATGGAATTTTTAGATACGTCGCATTACTTCAATGTATATATGTCTGCATATGCATAATAAGTAAAAGTATGTCAGTAAATACTATAGACATTACCATGACAAGCAGTAAAGGAGAGAACCAAATAAATAAATACGTAGAAGGCAATGCTGTGCACTCTAAATAAAGGTCGACAAAATTTTCGCTCAAGGTTGAGCGAAAATCCCACGGCGATGCATAAATTTTAACTTTTATATTTTATATGTACTTTTATATTTCACAATTGGTTGTGTCAACGCAAATTTTACTCAACCTTTAGACTGGATTTAGACTATGAAGTGGTATTGACTTGGTAATAACTTCGGGATTGGTAGTAGTGGTAAATTGGTCATTACCAACACGACTAATATGGTATCGTGTTTCGTGGTTATCACGAAACATAAACTTCTGGGAAATTAGTTAACGGCTACCTTAAAATTAACCACATATGTAAGACATATGTACATACCGACGTGAAAAGCTAATTTGCTTCTACATAATACCAGAGACTACATGTTCATAGACCAGCCATACGCATGGGTACATATGGGTACATATGTACAATCCAAGAAATCTAGTACTAAAATAATACCATGTGATGTGAAGTGGTCGTAATAAGTAAATATGTAATGTATGTTTACACATAATGTATCTAAAACCTTACTATTATAGATAAACTAGATTATAAGGTTTAGCAATTTCCACCCACAGGTAAAATATTACTACCAATTGGCTTAAAATGGTATCGTTATCTTTGTTAAACACATTTATAAGAGTGTATGTTATTCGCTCCCCGTCTAAATAAATAACTTGTTACATATATCTACAACTCGAAATAATAATACCCCATCCTAACATTATTTTCATTTTATGGGTCCGTAGAAAACTGACCTCAATGTCCTAGTCACATTCGTATCACATACAACACACCTAGTGACACTAAAAAATTACAAAATTCTAATTATATAGCGGCCCCATTAAAAAAATGTATCTCTTGCTTATCGTCATGGCGTTAGGAATTAGGCACAGTGTGGCCGAGGATAAGTTTGACCTTTATTTCATCCAAGAATACGCTGAGGACAGTTGGGAATACATAATACAAAGCTTGTCACCCCTTTCGTATCATCAAAGTGTTAAAACTATACGAGATTTTAACCTTCCCGCAAATAACACTGCCTTCATGCGAAACGCCAACCTTATTAAAAGATCGTCTCGTTCACAAATCGTGTTTATTTCAAATCACTTATTCTCCAACATTTTTGTCAACTTCAGGGCAGAATACACTTTTATCTTTATCTCTCACTCATTGCAGTACAATAATAAATTACCATATCATATCATGACGTCCAAGGTGATATTTTTCGGGGAGAATGGAATTTCCATTCCATGCATTCTCTGTCACAAGTTCATATTTGTTCACAGACACATTTTCTCGTTCGATATAATCAACTCAATTTGGCACCGACATAACTAGGTCGACATGCAGGGAAATATTTTGATTGCTATCTACGTAGCTCGAGACAATATATTATTTGACAAAACAATATCTTGTGGTCCGAGCCTGAGAAATTTCCTTGCCTCAGAGTCTTTATCATACTGTCAGAGTAATATCATAGGAATGCAACTCAACTTCACCACGGTGCACAGAAAACATTTAAAGAATTCTGGAATTAAGGGAGAAGCCATAGTGACGAACATCACCTTCAATGTGGCTTTAGACCACAATCACGTTAACCCCTTTGTGACTAAAATAGTTGAAATTTTGCTTTCCTTTGGGGACCAGAATTTTATCAGTGAGTTGTTGCTACATAACCAATTTAATTTTAATCATGGTGTAGCTGCGCCACCAAAATGGTATTATGTTGAGCATACGTACGTCACCGATTTCACTGTGGTGTGCAAACTATAAAGGACCAAATTTATTTAGACAACTTTTTATGATTTTGTTTAACCGGGAGCATTTGTTTATGCATAATAGCAAAAACTAAGCCCAAAATACAAGAACTGAAGTTGATATTAAGTTATTAAATTATGCATTTAACATATTACACAATTTGCATGGAATTGAACTACTGTGTTGACTGATGATATTTAACAAAACATGAATTTTCACCATCATTACACAGCCAAACATTACACACGTCACATGTATATTTTGTAGCATTGCGAATTTTGTTCTTTGTACAGAGTTTACAATTTGACCGCTTGGTTTTTCCATTGGCGTCTCGAGTTGACTGAGGATAATGTGCCTGGCTTGACGACTTTTCTTTCCTTTGTCTTGGTGGCCGTCCTAAAAAACTCCTCTGAACCGGATTGCTTGAAATAATATCTTCAACAAGGGATAAAATGTACGTTTTGTATCCTTGTTTCGCGATTGTTTGATTAAACTGGCAACTTAAGATGAAGGCGCTGTAGATACAGATATCAAAGAGATGGAATGCATACTTCCTATACCACTTTGTCGTCTTGCGAAGCGCTTGATAAGGTCTTATCATGGCGTCCATGTTATCGACCGCTCCCATGACTTTGTTGTAGACAAGTACGGAAGCTGGTTTCAATCTTTGATTGGCTGGGTTACCAGAGTTGCATTCTTCCATTCGATGGTCAATGAATGTATTTAGCATAAAAACTTCTCTTCTATCGCCCCAACGTTCCAACAGCATGTCGCCATCTGAGAATGTTTCCACTTCCCCTTGTGTAATCTTATTTGGCTTTTTAGTTATTGGGTCAACAAACCGGGGCATAAATTTTCTGTTCTTCCTTACTGTTCCTAGAACAAAGACTTCAAGTCTGACGAGAACTTTGGCAAGAGTAGGAGACTGAAAGTAATTGTCCAGCACGAGACGATGATTTTTATTGAAATATCCTTTTCTCAACAATGTAAGGGCTGTGGCACCACCAAATCCGTAAGCGGCGATCCAAGCTTGATCAAAGATCGGAGTACTTCGTCCTTGATATGGCAAAATGTCGAGAACATATTTCTTTTCAGCATCCATGAGTAAAAATGACTCGATCCCAAATCGTCCTCTTTTCTTAGGGTTGTACTGCCTGAAACTCAACCTTCCCCTGAATGGCATAAGTTCTTCGTCTAGTGTCAAAAATTCTCCTGGATTGACCGCTCTTCTGAAGTTATTCACAATATCCGGTAAGATAGTCCCCAACTTGTGAAATCGGTTGGTTGTGTCCAAATCAGGGTCCTCTATATTCACGAAATGTAGTCCACGTAAGATTTGTAAGAATCTGAGGATAATATAATTATTATAAATAATTTACATTTAAGTTTTACAGAAAGAATTATTATTGTGCACACCTGTTTCTACTCATCGTGTCCCCAAAATAATGTGTTGAAATCAGCATATTGATACTCCAATAATCTTTCAATGATGGTTTCTGCACAATTCCAGTTAGTACGTGTAGCGCCAGGAAGTTCCAGAACTCTGCCACAGTTAAGTGTTTCCATTGGGGTATTTTTCTCTGGACTGCATACAAGTTGGTCTGATGAATAATTTCTCTAATAACTTCATCGGTCATGAACTTTCTAAGAATTGAGTATGGCGTTGAGGTCCCATTGATTTCCACGTCTTGCACAAATCTCTCTGGATCCATGAATTCTGACGCCTCGGAGAAAAAATACTCGTGATCGCCCTCCCACGCTATATTATCCTGAGCGTTAGAACACACACATCAATAAAATTATCCACAGGAAAATGGTTAGAAATAAAAACTTACAAAGTTCGCCACTGGCTCTTCATCGTTGTCATCGATGGGGTCAAATTGCAGCAATTCTTTTTCGCCATCATTGTCCTCAACACCTTCTTCCTCGACCCACGCTGGAACAAAGTCACCGAGTTCCTGACCAGATTCTTCTATTTCCTCTGCCTCCACCACCCCCGAATTTGTCAATGTTATTGGAAACATTTTATTTATAGAGCAGATGAATCAAGAAAATCGTGTATGACTTGTGTACAAGTGTGTATTTTTGGTCCTTCTGAAAATTTTTCCGCAGTACACACATGTGTGTAGTTGGTCCCCAACGTAACCGGAAAATAGTACACAAATATGTGTACTTGGTCCTTCACGGAAAGGAAAAAACTCCACAAATATGTGTAGTTGGTCCCCAACGTAACTACAAAATAGTACACAAATGTGTGTACTTGGTCCTTAACGGAAAGCAAAATAGTACACAAATGTGTGTACTTGGTCCCCAAGGGAAAGCAAAAAAGTACACAAATATGTGTACTTGGTCCTTAACGGGTTAACTACTACAAAAGGAGAGCCATAACGTTTCCCACTCTAACTTTTAGAAAGTTCAGATTTTCCACTATTGCTCAATTTCCCCGAGCTGAGAGTAGTTTTGGGAACGTTTTTACCCCATTTGATGTCTGGACGTGGACCTTAATCTTAACTTTCTGCATTTTAATAACTCTTGTAATTCAATTTATTCGCAATCTCCCTAAAAGCAGGAAAGAATATAGTGCCGTATTCCTGCGTGATTTGATCACATTTACGTCAATTTTGTTTAATCAGAGTGGTGGTGATATCGTGAAATCCCTGCAAAAACAGAGAAAAGCTGTTCCGATCTTGACCGTCTGGTTTTTTGGGTGTTACGTCCTCATGGAAAATTTGTACCAGGGCTCAATCACGTCCGACTTAACGGCCGCACCTTTTCCCACCCTCCCCAAAACTTTGCAAGATTTAGCGGAATCGAAGTTCACCATTATTTCAACCAGCAGAATTTCAACTGCACTTGATGAATATGAATCCCTCATAAAATTTCTCCTACCGCCACTTCTTCACTCCATTAGGACCAGCGGTGACGATAAATTTGCCTCATTTCTGTCAAACTTTGTACAGCGTATGGTTCACATTCCTATCTGGAAATATAACATATTCGCGATAGCGCACATAATTCCAAACTCAGGAATTATCCCATTAAATGGTACTGAAATTCCGACAAGGGACACGTTTGCAGTTTTGGATGACACAGATGATCTTGTCAGATTCACCGCGTCACTAAAAACAATTGGAAAGCGATTAGTTATCGACAGCCTGCAAGATTTGCCCTTCCAGTTTAACTCGGTGACTTACACCACGCAGAACTATATTTCGCCCTCAATTTCCCAAGTAATTTTGAAGCTAACGGAATCGAGGATTTATGAGCGATGGGAATTACTCAAACTTATGAGGGATCAATTAGTTTACATGGATAATTTTGGTGAAGGCTTGTCAAAAAAATTAATTTTAAAGTTCAGTTCCGATTTTGGAGAATCAAACGTCCAAATGTATAATTCCGAGGGTGAAGCATTTCCTGCGCTGTTTTATGTTTTCGGATTATGCGCGACTGTTATCGCTATGGCGGTCTTAAGTTTATTGGTTGAGTGCAGGTTTGCGATTAATAGGTTTCTAGAAATCGGTAGACTTTTCATGCGGCACCTTGGGAGTTATATGGGCTACTTGGCACGATGTGCGGTATACTAGAAGTCGGAAAAGTGGGTTTTATCTTGTATGTAGATAATATACTAGTTATGTACTAAAGGGAGGGCAGCCTGGTGGATACGAATTTGGCCTTGAATAACCCCGGAACGGTTTGTCGTAGCGGGTCAAAATTTTGAACAGAAGAGCATGTTATCCTCAGATAGTTGTGTGCAAAAATTCAACTCTCTACTTTCAAAAATGCCTCCCCCACAGCCCCCAGAAGTTGAGACACTCGTTTCAACTTTTTCCAAACTCCGTCTAAAAAATTCGGTCCCCACAGAAAGATTTTCTTTTCATCTATCCGAACTCAAACAAGTCGATTTGACTTATATCAGGGGATTGTATAGGTATTTCACTATTCCAAATGATTTTTATCCCCAATCTAGGTTCAAGGTCATTTGCATAATCTTGGGTCAACTTTGCCGTCTGGGAGGACGCTCCGTCATGATGAAAAATCACCTTAATTATTATTTTACCGTGCAAATTAGGAAAATTGTATTCTAAAAGTGGTTTCAGTACAAGGTCCACATAATACTTCGAAGATTCCTTCACTTTTTGGGGGACTTTGATAAGTGGGAGGACACCACGGCAGGACATTGCACCCACGACCATCAACTGTTTAAAAAAGTTCTCCTCACTGAAAAGCACCAAATTTCTTGAATTTTTTTTCGGCATTTGTCGTGTAGTAAGCTCTTCGAACCCAATTAGTAACTTGTAGGGAAAATAGTTCTTCGTCAATTGTCACCAATAGCTCACTTCTATTCCTCAACAGAATATTCAAATAAAATTTTTTGCAAACACGGGCGAGATTTTTTCTGGAACTATTTGAAATGACTGTCTCAGCTTCTGGGGGCTGTGGGGCAGGCATTTTTCAAAGTAGAAGGCTGAAATTTTGCACACAACTATCTGAGGATAACATGCTCGTCTGTTCAAAATTTTGACCCGCTACGACAAACCGTTCCGGGGTTATTCAAGGTCAAATTCGTATCCACCAGGCCGCCCTCCCTTTGGCATATCTAGAATATAGAATTTAGTTACGCATATTTCATCCATGCTGGTCACTTTGGAAAGCTAATAAATAATAACTCATATTAACTCATTTTCTGAATATCGCTCACATGCTTTAAATACGTATGTCTGGCGTGGTTAGTTATTTTATTTATTAGCTAAAGCATTCGTCGTTAAAAAATTTAACCTTTTTTTGTCAAACAAACAAAACAAGACACACATTTCACTACTCACTCTCACTCAAACTTCTGTGACTCATAAATCAAATATTGGAGATAAAATTGAATACATTTAAAACCAATCAATAGCCAAAGAAAAATTTTTGGGAAATATATTGCTAATTTTCCCCACCGCTTTCATAATTCAGGGAAAGTTTCTCTATGAATAAATTGCATTCGTTTTAGAAAAGTTAAGCGCACAATTTTTAGTTTGAAACCAAACAGAATCGAGATGGATCTCACACCTCGGACGAAATTTGAATGTCCCACGTGCTATAAAACTTTCAAGTTGAAGCGTCAGCTTGCCTGGCATCTCGTCACGCACGCCCCCGACGCACAAGTGAAATGCAAGGTGTGCAATTAAATTCGTAAATTTGTAAAAATTCTCAACCATATGCGTTCTCAAATTACCCATTTTCTACTTGTTTAGGTATGCGGGAAAATTTCGAAAAACCCAGTCGCCTTGTCTCGTCACATGAAAAATCTTCACACCAACTGGAAACGGCCCAGTTGCGACATTTGTCAAATAGTGTTCTCAACTCTCCCAGTTTACGGAGACACACCGAAGCCATCCACATTACTCATGAACGACCCCGTTTGCCATGTGGGTTTGTCGGATGTGACAAAACTTTCCTCAAGAAACAAAATGTTTCGCGACACGTGAGAGCTGAACATGCCGAGAACCCGGTCCGATTTCGGTGCACACTTTGCGGGAAAGAATTCAAAATGAAGATAGAACTTGAGAGCCACGTTCCCACCCACACGACCGAGAAGCCGTACAATTGTGCCACTTGCGGTAGGAGTTTTGCCCTCAGGAGGACCATGAAAAGTCATGAGGTAAATGTCCACGTGGTAGGAAAAACTAGGTGAAAATTACAAATATTCATTTTGCAGCAGACGCATTTGGAAAAATCTGCCCGAGACATTTTCCAGTGTCACGTCTGTCCTGGTACCTTCTTAAAGAAAGGGGGTCTACAAGCCCACGTCCAAGTTGTGCATGAAAATCGGAGGAATTATCCTTGCACAATTTGTGATAAGAGATTCTCCAGCTCATCAGAATTGAAGCGTCACGTGGAGGCGAGACATGTCACAAATAAAGAGCTGGTCCATTCCTGCGACAAGTGCGAGTACAGGAGCTACTCAAAAGTCAATTTAACTCACCCCGTGAGACGTCACAATCCTGCGAATTGGCGCAAGTGTTATTTTTGCAATAAGTTTATCACCTTGCAAAACTTGGTTAAACACTACAGTCGAATTCATTGTCACGAGAAGTAGAACGTATATAATTGTGTTTTATGTGTGTGTTATGCCACATTCAAACCGCATTATCTGAACACCGCCAATTTTGAAAAAAATATCCACCAGTTAATTTTCTATGAATTACTCCGTACGACGCTCATCCAAGGCAGATATGTATAATAATTACACCCACTGGGGTAACCTGACCCAGAAAACAACTTCTTTAGACCAGTGTGCCTTATTCATAGAATGAAAATTGACTTGAAAATTAGTCGTTGGATTTCGATATCGAGTCGTAGAATTCTTAATGACATATGTACAACCACAGATTGAGACTATGATTTTAGGGTACAATAATTTTTTTACAACCATGAATCTAAGAGTCTATGGGGTAGCAATCTGAGGGGACATGGCTCAAATTTTATATTGATGTTAATCCATCGTGTCCATTTTCATGCATGAGTGTATATACCTATTTATATAAAATTGACTTTATTCAGGACACTGAATAAAGGATGTATAATGGACCATGTATAACGAAGAGAAAAATAATACAAATTTGTACATCACGATTTATACAGTGCAGTGCATAAAGTATTTGTTTAATGTTCAAATCAATAAAATATTTCACTAAACTTTATCCATTCAGCGACCATAAAACCGGAAAATCCACCATTTCAGTCTAATAAGATTAGGCACTGTCCGAGTCGCGTTTCGCAATTTGTCCGCCGTTATCTTCTCTTTCATAGAATCGCCTCTAAAACAAAAATATTATTTCACTTGTTAAATAAGTTTAAAATTGGTTTGTTTTTTATTAATTTTCTCACGTCATTGTTTCGAATTTTGACAAGCCCGATTACGTCACCAGCTAAAATTGAATCAAATTAAATATTCTTACATAATCACGTTAATAAATATTCCCACTCACCGGTCCAACTCGTCGCGAAAACTTCACACTTGCAGGTATGCACGTCACATTGGTAGCCCTTCAAGTTGCAGTGGACATGACACGACAGCCTTCGCAGTCCCGAACAATCGGCGGCCGCCTGTAAGGTTAACAGCTAAAATTATTTTGACCAAGTTTTACTTACATGGAACACTTAAAAATCCGGTATAGTCAGGCAGATATTGAGTTCTTGGTATTAAAGTTGCTACCTCTTGGCATTAAAATTATGTATATGCCTGGGTAGGAAAATTTACTACCAATATGGTAAAACTTTAATATATAGCTATCTCTAAATACGCAGTATTGTTATACATACAGTCTGGTACATACAAACGCGTATGTATGAATACATACATACGCCTGGTATTATTTTAATACTAGATTTCTACATAAGAGTGCATATTTCTACGATTTATTAATTACCATGTCCGCGACGAAAATAGTGGCAAGACTAAGCAGCAGAACGAGGGTGCAGAAACTCGGGAACTTCATTTTTGAAAGTGCTGGTTGTATTTTTTAAAAACTGTGGTAAATATGTTTGTCGGTAAGGATGGGATGAAATGATTGACTTGCCGAGAAGATGTGCGGCCGAATTTATATGAAAATGCAGCTCCGCCCTGGGAGATCAGTCTAGCCCATATTGCATCAATGTGTGCGTATATTTGTATCTTGACTTAGGCAAGTTTGGCGTGAATCATCTTTGCAGTTATGTAAATAACACCGCAGAATATGTGTAGGGTTCCGGACAGCATAAATAATTCGAGTTTTTTATAAGCCAGAGCTTCTAGATGGTCCGATGAATCACTCCCAGCAAGGTAAGAAAGATTTCAGAAATTTCACAGCATTCCGAAATGTACATAAATATCAGTAAAATGAAATTTATAAGAGCAGAAAAAAAGGAAAAATTCTAAAAATTGATTAATGCTACTATTTTATGAATTATGAAATTGTCCAAAATGACCAAAATTGTAACATTTTAAGAGGCAAGAAGATACGGGAGACAAGCACTGGCTTAGTTCCTACCCATGACGGCCAAATTTGCAAAGCCTTGTCGAGAAGACGTGGCCTCAATATTTTTATAATAAATGATATGTAATTGATGATTTAACTTAATTATGTAATTGGAATAAATTCGTGCGTTATGTTAAAAAAAAGGAAAAAATCGAAATTTTTAATCTATGTATGACTCACAGTTATAGAGGGATGTACATAAATATGTATAGTAAAATTCTAACCTTCTGACCTTATAGCAATATTTTATCACACATAGTCGCATCTACATAGATATTTATTTCAGCAGCATTTTTTGCGAATGCTTGCAATTTACGAAACCTATTGCACTTTTTGCAGTAAGTATAAAATTTCACAAGGAACGAAACACTGTCCATCATTGCATGTCATTAGATCACATGTCACCACCAAGTAAAATTAGATCATGGGTTCGTGATTAGTTTCCTAGCAGAGGATGCGTTTCGTGGACAATGAAATATTTGGAAAATCATCGATTGTCCTGCTCAACCCCATGACTTAAATCCAGCCATCCTTCGGGTTTTCCATTAGCCTGTAAGCATATCGTGTTCTTTGAGTACCTCGCTTGATCCAGGATTATTGGAACTCGATGAAAGTGATGCAGGCGACCCAGGATTGGCGCGGGGTCGGCGGGGAAATTTTATGACTAAGCGGTCATAGGATGACCTATTTGAGGGAGAGTTACAAACCTGCTTATGACTTCAATTCAGCCTTCAGGTTTTCCATCGGCGTGTAAATACTAGTAAATAGGCGTATCGTGTTCGTACAAATAGAATTACTTCGTTACATGTATGCATATATGGTTTTCAAAATTATTCCAAATCAATGAAAGTTATGTAGGCTGACGAAAATTGGTGAGGAAATTTTATTACGTGGCGGCTACACAAGGATGATTTATTTGAGGGAGAGTTATCTACAAAGAACAATTGAAATATAGATCGGGTGGCACACTTTGAACGAACGTCCTGCAAAGCCATCACGCGTTGTGGTTGGGCATTTATTAAGTTGCGTCAGCTACTTATTGTGATCGCTTTGTCCGTCCGCCTGCCCGTCCGTCCGCAAGCAGGATATCTCCAGAAGGAGTCAACATAATCAAACTCCGTTTTCGTCATTGTGTTTCTTCTAATTTTTAGTTGTCGGTCGAGTTCGAAAATGGGGTCAATCGGACCACACCCTACTGAGCCAGGGGGTGTGATCAAGATTAAATGTAACCTTTATTTTCATATGAAGCACCATTTTAAAGGAAATTTGATCGAGATTTCAAGAACATTAATATTTTTGACCTCATATCCTTGAGGTTGAGGATCATAAATGCATAATTGTAAGATACGGTGTCATTTTAAAAGAAATTTCGATCGTTATCACGCTACTTTTTTATATCTATTTGAAAGGGTTTGTTTATGTAAGTAGCATTTTACTGAAAAAAACTTGTCACAAAAGTCATAATTGCATGGATTTGTTTATTATAGGATTCAAATTTCATAGTGAAATTGTGCTAATCAGGAGGCATGTGCGATATGATCGACAACAGGACGTGTGGAGGAAGAAAGTTTTCATCGGCATCGCATCCGTATAGTATTATCCTCACTTATTACATAATTTGTGAACTAAATGTCTTCTGATCTTATGGAGGTGGGGGAAGGGTAACTGCTAATCTCGGAATTTTATTAGATTTTATTAAAGTTTCATTTTCATAAACTTATACCCGAAACTTTAAATTACATATACTCAACTATTATACTTAACTTATACTCGATATGGGAACAATTAAGTAATGTTTATTAGGCCCATCTGGCTGATCGTCGACACCGCTACCTAAGCAAATTATACACATCTTGAGGTGTGTAAATATTCACAAATACTCGTACAAATAATTATCAAGTAAATACTCTTGTGGAATAGTTAAGGAGAAGTTTAACTTAAGTTTAAGTTGGTAACTTTTTACACACATAGAAAAACCAAAGTATAAAGCAAATTACCTACATACATTGTCATCACACTTTCTTGTCCATATCAAAATTTGTAAATGGTTCAGACCATGGAAGCGTTCGGGGAAAAGGGCAAAAAGGCATCAAACGGAGAAAGAGGCAGGCAAAAAGACAATTGGGCATTGAAACTACTAAGGGGCGTGACCTTATTCCTAAAAAGGCGCCTTTTTCTGCCCCCTCTATGGGTAAGTATCCTATCTAAAAACCCATTACCAAAAACCTTCCAAGGATCATACCTCTCTAAAATCTCCACTCCTTCATTCCACTCTCTTAATTCCTCCGAAGACGAAAATACGTTCGGCAAAGTGTCAAAAATTGTCTCATTACCCCACCCCCGTTCCCCCGTGTGACCCCACCCCTTCGCCCACTCCATCCTTAATACGCCATAAACCTGGTGAATATCCCGAAACAAAAGTGATTGCAAACCCGCCAGAAATTCCTGAGCTTTTCTCGTCTCGGGAAATGTGGCAAATTCGAACCAAATCACGATATCATACTCGGGCCGACTTGGCACTGGCTTAGCCGGTGAAAAAATGGGTGGTTCTGCGTCCGCCCCCTCTGCCAAAATATTTTCGGGATCCTCCACTCCCGAGACGCGTATATCGAACACACCCGCGTTCGGATATTCCCCCCCGAGGCCAAATCGTCAAAATCTTGCCGTATAATTGAGACAACGGTTTGAAAATTTTGGCGGGATGTGACCACCACGAAGGAATTTACCCGGAAGATTGGCGTACTCTTAGGAGTGTATAAAAAATGGTTTTTTGATAACCCCCAGTAATCCTGCGACCCCGTGAGGTACGAGACAAAAACCATGAAATTAAATGACAGACGTGAAAGAAACCACCAAATCTGCGGAATCCATGCGAGCACCCACTTCAAAAGGGTGTTTAAAATTGGGGGATAATTTTCGAAATGGTAATTGTACGGTGTATCTGTGAACTTTGACCCGGTCGGCTTTTCTGGGACGGGGTGCCAAGTAAAAAGAAATACGCTTGAATCTCCCCCCGTTCCCATGCTGTAGGCTTGTATTCGTCCATACGAATCCAAAAAGTCTGATAAGTTTGGCTTATCATAATCTCTCACCGTGCCAAATAATTGGCGCACATTTACGAAAAAAGTTTGCGATTTTAACATTTGATCGGCACCAACTCGTATTTTCACCCTGGTTACAAACGTTCTCCCCAAATTGACGAGAAACGCTTTCGTGTCGGGATGCGATCTTGGCAGGGTTTTGACGACGTATTTTTGAGTATGGTTGTCCCACGCGATGACGTCCATTTCGAGGACGAGGTTGCTAAATGTTCCGTATGCATGGCCCAAGATTTTGGGGTGGGTGGCTGTTTTTATATGGAAGTCGGTCAGTTTGGCGAAAATAGTCTTGGCGAAAAAATTTTGCCATAATAAAATTCCATTGGGCGAGGAACAAATTTAAGATATTTTACAGTACTTTAGGCTTTATATTTTTAAAGTACCTTTTGGCGAAAATACTGTCAAATTAGGCGCAAATGAGGATTATTTGAAAATGGTGATAATGGTGAGCTAATAATATAAGAATTAATTTTAAGTTATTTGACAAAAACAAATATGAAGGCTAAATTTGGCCAAATGTAATTTTACCTTGATTAGTTTTCTACTTTGGCGCCGTCCATAAATTACGTAACACTGGCTGACATGAGCAGGATATGGAAAAAACCCTATCTTGCCCATGCTAGCCAGCGTTACGTAATTTATGGACGGCGCCTTTCCGCAAATATGACAATAATTTCGCAATTGATAATTCCACCCCCGAACTGAGGAATTTTCAGTGCCAAATAATTTCGCCATTTGGTACTTGGATGGTACTTTTTTGGACCACAACGGCGAAGAATTATTTTTGCCAAACTGACGTCCGCCAAACTGACCGTCAATCGTCTTGATGCCGGATCCGTGCGCCCCAACTGCCAGCATCCCACCGACGGAAAGGTCATCTTGCGAGGGGTAGGAGAAAATTCCGAGGTGATGAGACTCCAAGGTTTTCAAGAGGTGTCCCAACGTAACCCCTGGGCCGAGAGTGGCAGGGACGTGTTAAAATCAGTCGTGACTTTTATGTCGGTCAAATATTTTGTGGTGTCGATTAAGAGAAATTTGGGGCAAAGGGTGGCTTCCTCGTAGTGCGAAAGGGTGATGGGACTCCAACTGTGCATCCGGCCCACGCCACGGACTCGGTAACCCGCATTCTTCGCCCAGTTGACCTAACTTAAAACTTCTGAGGCATCCCGTGGGGATGAAAAATAGGAGAATGGGATGACCACGTCGGATGCGTAGGTTTTGAAGGGTACCACGGTATATGTGGAATTGGGGGGGGAAATTTGGTAATGGGGGACACGGACCCAAATTAGGGACTGAGGTGTCAGTCACACCTGTAAACCAGTTAATTATGATAACATTGAATTATGTATGTAGTTACACATGTAGGTATTAAATATGTATAATATACATATTTAATACGTATGTATAATATGCATACGTACAGTAGAATTACTTGTACGTGTCACCTAATTTTCCTAAATCTCACTATACACCCTTAGAAATCCAGTATTAAAATAATATACCAAGCAGTATTCATATATGTATGACACATTAATAATTGATAAGTAATACTGTGCATTAATAGCTCAGTAACGAACTTTTACCATATCGGTAGCAAATTCATACATAACTTTAATACCGGGCGGTAGAAACTTCTATACCTAAAAAGTCGATACGGGGAGCTACCCATATTGAATAAACTCTAACGAATCCGTCAAAATATGCAAATAATTCCACTATATTTTTTTTAAATAATGTAATTAATTACCTTGTGATCTAAGCCCACCTATTGCAACAAATGTTATTATGCTTATCACGTCCGGTTTCATGTTTCATGAAATTAAGACTGAAATACGTATTTCTCTTGCACTTATGTTTATTATTATGTACACGTAATTTCGTTATTTTGCGGTTTAGATTGGACGGTCCCCCTGGAAAAATGCTGTTGTTTCTTCACTCACATTTTAACCTTCATCAAGCGTGTCAATGAGTGGGGAATGAAACTTGATAATTTTGTAGAGCCAAATACATATGTATTAGTTCTTAAGGTGAGAAAGTTTTGTATAAGAAAAGGAAATTGTGAGACAAATGAATAATCCTCTAATACCCTTTGTGCAGCAGAGGTATTAGGTATCGGGCACAACATAAAACTTACTTGATGTCCTTGATGCAGATTTGTCTAGGCATATTATTTTAATTATTTTACATTATGCAGTATTACGGGTGCAACTAAATACATATGTATAAATATACATAAATACTCGCATGGGTCTTTCCCACAGATTGATGTATATCTTGTGAACCTGTAGCTTTATTGTTTCAGCACAATTAGTTTTAATGTGCATACCCGGAATACAATATACATATAAATACATATCGACTTACATAGTTCGAGGGATGGGCTTTCACATAAAAATATTATAAATTCCCAACGCAAACAACCACCTGGTAATTAAAATATGAGCTTGTGCAAACTAGCTCTGGACATCTTTTGTATGCACGAGCAAGCAAATTATTTACAGTTTCGGATTTCTAACAAATAAATCTAACAGCCTTGTCAGCTCATATATAATTGAAATTCACACTAATCGGAAACGGCCTAGTGGACACATTTATTACTGGGTGTTTTATGGAGACATATGTACAACATCGTCTAAAGCATGAGTGAACAACCCCGTATGTCATGATTGATTGATTGCTTTTATTAACGGCGTCAGCACAAGTACAGGTTTTCATCTCTGGACTGCAGAATCGAATATAAATTTGTCAAATAGGTACACATGTATGTACACGTGAAAAAATAAAATAACTGAAAATTGTTTCTACATTTAGTGTGTATTTGTAGGTATACTTATTTACTGCGGATTCACGCAAGTCGTGAATCAGCATTTTTCACACCTCCAAGCTCTGAGTTCACTACTGATTATTATCTATTTATTTAGACTGATAACGTTAATATTGTATAATTAGACCATTTTTTTATTATAAATGCTTACAAAAAATGGCCTAATTTTAAAATAGAAACCATAGATGTCCATTGAACTGGACTTAAATATATGTATATATGTATGAGCAATATTCAAAGTCTCGCTCAACTAGATAATAAATTTTGCTTGACAATGAAAATTTTAATTTCAATATTAATGTACAAAGATGAGAAAAATAATACCAATTTGGACGTCAGGATTTATACAGTGCAGTGCGTAAAATATTTATTTAATGTTCAAATGAATAAAATATTTCATTGAACGTTATTCATTCAGGAAACATAAAACCAAAAAACCAACAATGCCCGCCATTATCTTCCCTTTCATAGAATCGTCTCTAAACCAAGAATATGATTCCACTTGTTAGATAAGTTGCAAAATTATTATTTTTTAAATAATTCTCTCACGTCATTATTTCGAATTTTGGCAAGCCCAATTACGTCACCAGCTAAAATTGAATCAAATTACTTACATCTTTTTACATAATCACGTTAATATGCATATTTTTTGTCAAAAAAAAAACATCCCACCCACCGGACCAACTTGTCGCGAAAACTTCACACTTGCAGGTATGCACGTCACACTGGTAGCCCTTCAAGTTGCAGTGGACATGACACGATAACCTTCGAAGTCCCGAACAGTCGGCGGCCGCCTGTATTTAATGATAATCTAAAATTATTTTGATCAAGTTTTACTTATGTACATGGAACACTGTTAAAAATCCGGTACATATAGTCAGGCAGGTATTAATTTCTCGGTATTAAAGTTACTACCGCTTGGTATTAAAATTATTCCGGTTCCCGTACAAATTTTCTACCGGTACGGTAAAACCTGGGGTTATTTTAATGCTGGATTTCTAAGCGTGTAGGTAGCTACGATTAATTACTTACCATGTCCACGACGAAAATGGTGGCAAGACTAAGCAGAAGAGTGAGGGTACAGAAACTTGGGAACTTCATTTTTGAAAGTGGCGGTTTTACTAGTTTGTACGAAACGTTGTCCTATATTTGTCTGTAAGGATAGGATGGAATGATTGACTTGCTGAGAAGATGGTCGGCCGAATTTATATGGAAATGCGACTCCGCCCTGGGTAGTCGGTTTAGCCCAAATCTCATCACGAGGAGTACCTCAGTGTTTCTTGGGTTAGGTAAGTTTGGTGTGAGTCACAGTTGAAAAGTTATGTAAATATACCAGAATATGGGTAGGGTTCCGGATGGTGATAAATAATTCGAGTTTTTTATAAACTAGAACTTTAAGTCCACTATAAATCAGTTTCTCCGAGTTCTCTCTTGGCTTCCTTCCGTGCATCACGTATCTCTCTCTCGCTCTGCAACTGGATTCTCTCTCTTCCATCTGGTCGCGGGTGTGCCAGGGCAAGTTAAGTGTGTCCCAATGCCTTATCGCCACGTGAGCCTCGTCCACTGACACCCCCCACCTGCGTGCCTAGTGACACCCCCTGCCACACCCGTCCCACCAACGACAAGCTGAGCCATCAGGTGAAGATGGATCTCGTCGGACTCTGTGCACGGGAGGATCAACGCCATGGAGGACTCCCCCAGGTGAGACCTTTGTTTGATAAATTGGGGTGGTGAACATGTGGGGGTGGTCGGCGGAAGAGTGAGTGTGCGCGGTGTTGGTGCGGGCGGCTGGGCTAGGTCTACGGGGTTTCCATGACTTTGTCATGTGCTGCGATGGGAGGGGTTAGTTTGTGGGGTGTATCATGGCCACTTTATGGGGTCACTTAGGCCGAACCCTGAAATGGGTCATTGGTTAGTTTGTGGTCCATGGATGCTCCACTCCAGCCTAATACTCGTCGTGTCCCTACCGGCACGGCGCCTACTCATTTGGATGCCACCATTTTTCCGATATGTAAATCGCCTATAATCTCTGTCATTCACTGGCCGAACCTGGGTTTACAGGTAGTCAGGGCCGAATGGTGAACTGGGTAACCTTCCCAGTTCAGGTAGAGGTTTTCCAAACTGACCACCATAGTCTGGTTTTCCCTCTACTCCCCTGACTACTATCACAATTATTCTAAACTAAAATTTGACTAAAATGTACCTATACTTGAAATGATTAAGACATAAATATGCACTTAAAATAAAATGGCGATAATTTTCTGACCTTACAAGGGAACCTTAAGTACTGTCACCTCTCGATTTCCTTCCACATAACCTTAATCGACAGATAATTTAGTGAAACTAAAACTTTGTTATACAACATGCGGTGCAAAATCGCGTTTTCGCGAAATATTTGGCTAGAGCTGCACCAAAACCTGCATTTTCCCAATGCTTTTAACATAGCCCTAGCTTTTCGAAGGATGAAATGAACTTTATAGAATCTCAATAAATTATATATGTACCCGTTCAGGTAATTTCAGTCCGATCACGAATATCCAAAAAGTGATGCAAAGATTTGCAAATTGCGAAAATCGGAAATTTTTCGCAAATTTGCATTTATTCATTTCTTTAAATTCAACAAAATTTACAAAGTTTGACCAATATAAAATACATTTATTATTGCAAAAATTTGCAGAAAGTGAAGTTCGCAATTTTTCAAATTTTCATTATCATTTTATTGGAACTAAAAAATTATGATTTACATACATGTCCGAATGAAGGAAAAGCTAATTTGTTGAACAACTAAAAAATCACGCTACACATTGCAATTTTTTGCAACTTGGAGAAATAAATATGGCAAATAATAAAACATACGTAAAAATAGACTAGCATTGGTTTTTTTAACTAATTTTCATGAAAAATTGCGAACTTCTATTTTTGCAAATTTTTGAAATAAGAAAAGTATATTTTATATCAGTTAAACTGATACATTTGTTGAATTTAAAGAAACGAAGTAATTCAAATTTGCGGATGCTTACAGATTTTCGCAATTTGCAAAAAATTGGCGAATCTTTGCATCATTTTTTGCATATTCGTGATCGGGCTGAAATTACGCGGACGGGTACAAATATAATTTATTGAGATTCTATAAAGCCCATTTCATCCTTCGAAAAGCTGGGGGCTATGTTAAAAGCATTGGGAAAATGCAGGTTTTGGTGCAGCTCCCGCCAAATATTTCGCGAAAACGCGATTTTGCACCGCATGTTCTATAACAAAGTTTTAGTTTCACTAAATTATCTGTCGATTAAGGCTATTTGGAAGGAAATCGAGAGGTGACAGTACTTAAGGTTCCCTTGTTAGAATAATATTTTATCGCATATCGTCATCTATGTACCTATGTAGATATGTAGCATTTTGTGATTTTTTTGCAATTTATGAAATAAGTATACATATGTTGCACTTGTTTCAGCAAGTTTAAAATTTCACATGGAACGAAACACTGTCAATCATTGCATGTCATTAGATCACATGTCACCACCAAGTAAAAACTAGATCATGGGTTCGTGATTAGTTTCCTAGTAGAGGATGCGTTTGGTGGACAATGATATATTTGGACAATCATCGATTGTCCTCCTCAATCTCATAACTTTAATCCAGCCTTCGGGTTTTCCATTGGCCTGTAAAAGCATGGCATATCGTGTTCTACTAGGATTACCTCGTTCTATGCATGCATATGATTTTCAGAATTATTCGAATTCTATTAAAGTGATGTAGGCGGAGGAGGATTGGCTTGGGGTCAGCGGGGAAATTTTATGACGGGCCGGCCATTGAAGGATGACCTATTTGATGCTGATAACTTCAATCCAGCCTTCAGGTTTTCCATCGGCGTGTATGCAAATATTTACATACATATTTGAAATAGGCGTATCGTGTTGTTAGAATCATCTTGCTTTATCTTTGTACATTTATGGTTTTCAGAATTTCTGCCATTTAATGAAAGTGATTTGGGGCGGACGAGCATTGGTTCTGGGTCAGCGGGGAAATTTTATGACGGGGCGGCCTTACAAGGATGACCTCATATGAATTTGAGGGAGATTTACGTATAACAATTATAATAGTGATCGAGTGGCACAATTACAGGGAAAGTCGTGGAACGCCACAGATCGTGGTGGACAATTGGGCGTTTAAGTATTTAGAAATTTGTCGATAAACCTGAAAACTAATTATACATAATTGCATTTGGTTATTGGACAATTAAAATTTGACAGTTTAAAATACTAATCAGTTGATATTTGCGATGTGGTTGGCAACACCATGGAAGAATTGGTCGCTCACGGAGGATAATTTTCATCATCTGTAATATTTTATTTACCTGTTAATTTGTAAATTAAATATCTTCTCGCACCGTAATTTTTTCTGAATTTATTTAATTTTATTGGAGTATGTATCATTTTCAAAGTTTTCTTCGGAAATTTCCAATCGAGCAGAGATGTTAATTTGAATTTTGACGTGATGAATTTCTTAATACGTTCAGATTTCCAATTCTGTTTTTTACAACTCTTTATTTATTTATTTCGCAATTGATTTGGCTAATTTATGTTCAGTAAACATATACATGTACCATCCATTCTTCATGAATATACATACATATTTATGTATACTTTTAGCAACGTGTCACTAATTTCTAGCTAGCTAGCTAAATTTTACATAATCTAGTCCTAATTAACTTCAATTTTTGGTGGAAATAAATCCGTCCAAAATTAGCATAATTACGACATCAAGAATATTATTGTTTTCTTTACAACACCAAGAAGCAATGTTAGTTAATTAATTGCAGTATTATTGTGCAAGGTACATACGTAATTTAAATAGTAGTAATTGTCAAGTAATTCGCTGTCTTCATTCCGTCGTATGTAAATGAATGTCACGTGTCATTCTCTAGTAAACACTTATAGATATCACTGTAACAGAAAGGCCTTGGTATAATAATCTCCACTTCGTCTGTGTTCCCCTGAGTACTTAAGAATAATGTGAGTGTGAATTATGTTCGACCCAGGTTTTGTGCTAATGAGACAAAATTTTCGGCAAATTTGCAAAATCTAGTGAGTCTTGGGCAGTTACATTTGCAAAAATATTGAATCTGTGTTCCTCGAAGGGTTTTAGCGTTCTCGTTTTTTTCGTTTTCAAAGCATTTTTTGCAAATTTGCAATGTCCGAAAGTCGCATGTTGAAAACTTAGAAATTGTTAAAATTGCGAATCCCTTGCAGATTTCAGATTTATCGGTTGTTTCAGGGGTTCGAAGTGTTTTACGAAATTTGCAATCCAAAACTTCCCTGTTGAAAATTTGAAAATTGTGAAATTACGAAGTTCTTGCAATCTTTTGCAAAAAATGAGGGTTTAACATCGTTCTCACTCACACACTAATACGATACATACATTACACGTAACGATTTTAGAAAATTGGCAAGGATGTCAAAAATATGTTTGTCTATTTCGCACTAACTCCCCCGTTAATTCGTCAAATTCCAAAAATTTATTCCAGACTCACCGATTTTCAAAATTCGTGTCGTGAATTAATTACATAACACACTTAACTTAATTAATAAACCGTCGCAAACGCGCATACGGAAGTAGCTTCAGACGTACTTCACCCCAAACGGTCCCACCACAACTCGGGAACACTTAATTTCACTCTATTTCACCTATAGATTAATTTTTTGTAAAAATCTCATTTTGCCCCGACCACACCCCCTGGCGACGAGGGGGTGTGGAACAACTCGGGAACACTTAATTTCACTCTATTTCACCTATAGATTAATTTTTTGTAAAAATCTCATTTTGCCCCGACCACACCCCCTGGCGACGAGGGGGTGTGGAACAACTCGGGAACACTTAATTTCACTCTATTTCATCTATAGATTAATTTTTTGTAAAAATCTCATTTTGCCCCGACCACACCCCCTGGCGACGAGGGGGTGTGGAACAACTCGGGAACACTTAATTTCACTCTATTTCATCTATAGATTAATTTTTTATAAAAATCTCATTTTGCCCCAACCACACCCCTGGCGCCTAGGGGGTGTGGCACAACTCCGGAACACATAATTTTACTCTATTTCACCTATAGATTAAATTGCACTAAAAATCTCATTTTGCCCCAACCACACCCGCTGGCGCCGAAGGGGTGCGGCAAAATCGGGGAAACACTCAATTTCACTTAATTTCACTTAATTTCATTTAATTTCACTCAATTTCACCTAATTTTACCCATAGATTAAATTGCACTAAAAATCTCATTTTGCCCCAACCACACCCCCTGGCGCCGAGGGGGTGTGGCACAACTCCGGAACACATAATTTTACTCTATTTCACCTATAGATTAAATTGCACTAAAAATCTCATTTTGCCCCGACCACACCCCCTGTCGCCAAAGGGGGTGTGGTCCGGTTGCCCCCAAAAGTTGATAGGATCCCCCTGGGGTCCTATGTATGATGGCGAAAACCGATTTCGATTATCTCGATCCGTTCTCCTGATATCCTGCTGACAGACAGACGGACAGACAGACAGACAGACAGACAGACAGACAGACAGACAGACAGACAGACAGACAGACAGACAAAGTCTTCACATAAAGTAGCTGAAGCTACTTAATAAATAGTTAATAAGTAAGTTGAACAATTATTGAAATAAGTTTCACAACAACAACGAATATTTTATCACTTTGAAAATATTGCTGGGTAGTATGTAGTAATTTTTGAGAAATGTTGGTTTCCAGTTGTAAATTTTTGCTAGATCGTCTACTTGAGAAGATTTCGAGCTTTCTCGTTCGCCGTGGAGATTCGACCGACGTTGTTCTCAGCCTGAAAGGGATTAATTTGTTAGTGGAGAAATTTAAGCAAGTTAGGTACGCATCGTGCAAGGCATGTACCATCATATTTATACGATCAATTTGAGCGTTCTGATTGCCAATTTCGCTTCCCATGTCGACTGCCATGTTTCTCAGATTACCCACCATGTTCGATACTTCTTCCATGTTCTTCTCCATCTCTTCCTCCCGAGCGTCGTTCGTGTATCTGGGCAGAAAGGAGGAAATTCAAGTGGTAAAATTTGCAAATTAAAACAAAATGCGACAGGCTTATATTGCGTATGTAGAAAGGAACGAAAGGAGAGGTTGCAAGGATTAGAATCTCTGGTGGAAATTATGGCGAAATTTTAGGTACACCTGTACATATACATATATGCGTGCATATACATAGCCTTTGTATGGTGAACATAACTTGCGAAATTTACGAAATTACGAAATTTTTCTACGCTTTTGCTGACAAATCTTAGGGTTTTTCGCAAATTTACCGAGCAATAACTGGGAATGTTTTTAAATACTTCGCAAAATCATTTCGGAGAGAAATCCATGAAAACTACCTCCAACTTGGGGTTTTACAAGTATGTAGCTTTGCGAGATTTGTGAAGTTATACATACTTTGCGAATCTCCTCACGAAATAATTTTTTTGAGCTGGACAAAGTGCTAAATAAGTAAGTTGTGATGCTATATATGTATGTACATGCGTAAGTAATTAAGATGTTGCTGTGAGTACGCCCGGTCGCGCAACTCATTTAGTAAGAGTTTGCGAATTAATAGATACTGAGGGTAGCCCACATTGGTGAAAACGATTTTGACCTTTAATATCTTTGGCGCTAGTAGAAATTTTGAATTGAAATTTTTACAATTTGTTCACCTTATAGTCAGCATTATGGGTGCAAAATTTCAATTTGCTAGTCTAAATTGCGCCAGAGATATATGCATATGAAAAAATAGTTCTGTTCTAAAACACTCTAAAACTGCATAAATTTTAAGTTTCAGAATATTTTTAAAACCTTCTAGAACTATGAATTGTTGATGGAATTTGATGTGGGTGGTATGAAAATTTTTGGCATCTATGTGGCTTTCATACATAACTCAAAATTTCCCAAATTTTTTTAAATTCATTCCATACCAGGTGGATTTGTACAAAAAAGCGTGAATAAAGTTTATTTTTCTGTTAAATGGAATTTTATAAATCACAATAGTTGAAATGTGTTCATGTTTATTATTTTAGCAGTTAGAGGAGACCTTACTGATCGTAATGCAAACATATTTTGTACTTCAAATGTTTAATGTCGTGCAATGGAGGTACTTGGGAAAAATTAGCGAAATTTTGACAAATTGGGGGCTGTTATAATTTTTACTCTGAAACTCTACCCAGTTATTTTTTTATCAAAATGTAAACTACATTGTGTACTACGGACATGGGGTCACACAATTTGCTATTTCCTAACATTTCTAGCCTATCAGCAACTGTTCCATGTCCTTTCATAGGGTAATTTATGTCTGGAACAAAAAAAGTCATCATTGTTTTACTTTGGGGTTAGTTGAAGGTCTGCTTTTTACACTAGAGAATTGAAATTTTGCACTCATAATGCTGAATATAAGGTGAACAAATTGTAAAAATTTCAATTCAAAATTTCTACTAGCGCCAAAGATATTAAAGGTCAAAATCGTTTTCACGGATGTGGGCTACCCTCAGTATGTGGAAAGAGATACATACTGGCTGGAGAAATTTTCGATAAAAATGCAGAACTTGTTCAAGCGTGGAATCTTTGTGTCTCGAGCTTAACAAATTGTGTTGCAATTTTTTTCCCTCATTTTAACTTTTCTTAGCACAAATGCTCAGTATGAGCGATTAGCTAATTATGCAAAACTTATTTGAGTTAAATAATTCCCTTACTTTGAGACGAATCCACCATACGTGGGTATTCCTGCGTCGGAGGGTCCACCCGGTCTTTCCGACCCACCACCCCCTTCGCCATCGTTCACCTTCCAATTGGCATCATCTTTGCTTCCCCTGATAATCAAAATTCAAAATTAACGATTAATTTAAAACCCAGTTTTATCTAGATGATTTGCAATTAAACTTCGAAAAAGCGACTTACTTTGCGCACGGAAACTTAATAAGGGAGCAGCAATTTTCCATCCCTCGCATATTTTCTTCTGCCTCTTTCATGTCGCTGTTAATTTGCAACATTCCTTTCTCAATATTGTCCAGTTTTTCGCCTTGATCGTCCAGAGCGACAAGGGAGCGGATTCCCATCTCTTTCGCCTCGTTGCAAAGTTCTCGCATGTTTCGAGTACTTTGAAGCGACTGAAATTATTTAAGCAGGAAAATTAGTTGTCAATTGGTTATAAGGAAAGTGTGTGCAATAATATTTGCACAATAAGTGAGTGACTTGCTATTGTTTAAAAAGGACTTAAATATTTAAATCCTTGTACAAATGAGTATTAAATTTCTTTGGATTTCTGCCCATTTTATTTTTGGTTAATCGTTGCTATAGGTTTTAATAAATTTTAGTTGTAAATTTCATAAAATAAAGAGATGTTAGATATTTTCATATGTCGTTCTGACCTTTTAAAAATTAGTTTTAGTAAATTTGCATAAACAGTTTTTGAATAATTTCATATATTGGTTTTAACTTTTATTCATAAATTGAGCTGTATAAATTTTCATGCATCAGATTAAAATTTTTCATCCATATTTATGTCATTCTTAAATGTTTTTGTCAATCCTTTCTATACTTTTTCAAATATAAAGTAAATCGCTTTTAAAATATTTTCAGAAATTTGTATCAATTTGTTCATACATAAATCGTTTTCTTAGATAAAAACATCCTATGTAAATATGTATGTAAATAATTTGTAACAATTTACATACATGCATAACGAATGTGTATTTTTTACATACACTCGTCGCTTCTAAACTTGGCGTAAATCTATTTTCAAAATTTCATCAATTACTACATTAATTTTGATTAATTTAAGTTAAAAAAATCATATAATTCCGAAGTAAATTTTCATATGCATCTACATTAGCGCGTGTGATACATAACCCTCTCATTCTCTACCTGATCGGTAACTTCGCTCGCTTTATATTGCAATTCTTCCAGCTCGGAGCGTTGTTTTGGTGGGGAGGGTGGTGGTGGAGGCATTTTGCCTGTTGCTTTCTCCGACTTTCTCTTTTTGGATCAAATTTTCTCTAAAAACACGCACCTCTCAAGTCAGTCACACCCACTTCATAAAATTTCCAAAGTCAAATTACTCCCACCCTTACGCACAATTTGGGTCCGTCTTATTGTTTTTTTTGCATAGATTTGGAGAGAAAGTCCTTGTGGGTAAAGTTGAGACAAATCAGGTCAGTAGCCTGTGGATTGAGCAGTATTTTTTATCACACACTTGCTTTTCTGCATGCGTCCAGTGAGCAGGGAGAAGTATGTCGTTGCAGGCGGGGAAAGAAGCTAAAGGCACGACTCGATTGTGTCTCCAGCGTTATTGTAACTGGGCATGAGAAAGTGGGGAAAGGGGATTTTATCTGCATTGCGTGAGCCTGGCGCCGGCTGGATTGAGCCGAGTGGAGGACGACTGCAGTGGCCGTGAAATACTTGGCAGATTTATGCTCGGCTTTTGCAAAAAGTAAAGCTCGCAACACTCCACACTAAAGAATGACCCAGTAGGCAATTCGTTGGTCGAATTCTCTGCGAACATAGCGAATTTAGAGCGAATTCGCTGCAGCGAAAAATCGTTGCGATTTCGAGGACAATTTCGCCTAGAACCCGCACCGACTTCGCAACGATATATTTCTCATCGAAAAATCTAAGACAATTCGTTACGAATTCGAGTACGAACAATCGCTGGCTTTTCGAGGAAAGAATTGTTCATGCGAATTCGCAACGAATTCGGAAGGACTTCAGAATTTCATTGTCCGTATAAAATTTGAGCAGCGATTTCACACCGAAATCGCAGCTACTCCTCGCCTTGAGATCACGTGCCCTTCGACCGGCGGATTTTAAGTAAACGATCACAACGGAGAAAACTTAATAAATAATCCTCCTCTTGTACAAATTAATAATTAATTAATTAGTGATTTAATTTGTGAAATCCATGGATTCTGAAATCTTTTGGTAAGTGGGTAGTTGATACAAATAACCACACTTAACTTAACCTAGCATATTTGTTACGCCATTGGTAATTTGTAAATACTTTTTGGATATTTAGAAGATGGTTTCGCGTTTGTGAGCATCACTCACAAAATGTATTTGCTCACTGGGGAAACTGTACTTGCAAAATTATTTCCAGATAAGTCATATTATTTTAGGCTAAAACCTTCCTAGATCTAACCATGTTAATTAAATCTGCCAATAGTTCAGATTTTTCAGAGGCTGCACCAAAATGTCATGTCGGTTACGAAGAACGCCATTCTCCCAAAATTTTTGACAAAGGCAGAGATTTAAAAAAAATGTAAGCAATTTTAAATTTTACACAGTAAGATTGTGCAAAATTGTTCTGAACTTCATGATGTCATTTTATAGAAAACCCAACTCCAGGCTGACACGAGTGAATACAGAAAACTCAACAATCGAAAATCATACTCCCAAGGGTATTGAAAATTATGTTGTTTATTATTTTGGTTTGTATTTTATACTTTAATATGAATGTATTGATGTATATTACGTTCTAATAAATCTTTCATTGCTTTCGGGAAGAATAAACGAATAAAAAGGGTGACATTGGATTCGCAGAGAAATCACGACGAAACCAATCGAAATCGATACGACTCAGAGCGAAATCGTCATAAAAATGCATCTCGAATTCTCAACGATACAGCGCGAAGTCGCTGCGAAATTCGCGCTAAGAATTCGCTGCTCTTTCGCACAGATTCGGCGGTCATTTAGCTCTGTTTTCGACGTCGATTCGATAGAGATTCTCTGCGATTCGATGCTGGTGCATCGCTACGATATCGCAGAGATTCGTTGTCTTTTTGCCTACTGGGGACGGACTTTGCAAAATGTGTGCAATCTTGTGTTTTCTTTGTTTACAAAATTATGAACGGGGATTACGTGAGTGAAAGTGTGTAAAGCTGAATATTGACTTTTAACTAGAAATGTATAAAACATAACAATGTGAAATGTTTGCATACATTTCACACTTAGAAATCCAGTAGTAAAACAGTACCAAGCTAAGCGGTATTCATGTATGTTTGGCTTTACCAAAGTGGTATTGATAAGTGTAAGATAAAAAAAAGTTTTACCATATCGGTCACAAATTTTGATAGATACGTATAATTTTAATACCAAGTGGTAGCAACTGTAATACCGAAACATCAATACCTGCAGGTATTGATTTTTATAGTCAGGCATGCCTGACTATACTAGATTTCTAACAGTGTGTTGAGTCCAATGAAATCACTGTTGATGTTCGTAAATTGATGAGGTCTGTAAAATTTATTGGTGAATTTGCACAAAATGAGAAGACCCTTTTGATCTGTATAATTTATAATTTTCCTTTGTACATAATAAGCTGTGCAAACAACTTAAATATGCAAATACTTAATCAGCAGTTTGCGAAGTTTGCTGGTAGTAGACATTCAATGTCATTCTTTGCGAAAATATGATGCCGTATTATAAAAGTTGTAAAATTTGGTACAATAATTTCTTAGTGTTTGCCTGCATGCATGGTTGCATGGAAAGTGGTATAGTGGTAAATAGCGATATTCGGCTTTACAAAATTTGGACGCTGCATGGTGGATTTTCTCCGGGAGAGATAGATGGTTTGTTTTGAAGGTGCAGAATAAGCCAACAACTTCTCCTGAGTTTGACTTCTGGATAGGATTTGTTAAATACATACGAAGCCATGTATGTAGTCGAAAGGAGTTCAGTTGCTTGAGATAGTACTTACTCGGATCCGGAATTTAATTTTATCATAACACTTTTTTATTGAAGAAGGTAAATTGGTGATAAATGGAATAATGGACAATATTTCGAGTTTCGTGTGGTGTTTCGCCAATAAAAATTGCATGAGAGAAAATTAAATTATAAAAAATGCAAGGAATATTAAACCAAAAAGTAGTACAATAAAATTTGAGTAAATTCTTTTGCCAGCGGTGCAAAATTTTTGGCATATCATGCAGAGTTGCGAATATGTGTTTGGTTTGAGCCGACGCACGTCAAGTTTTAACTTAAAGCACCGAATAATTCTTGTTTTTTAGTAATTTGTGAAAATGTAATATTTGGGAAAATTTGAAAATATTTAAAAATTAGTTACTTACACTTTCACAAAGTTCGAAATGATCTAAAATTATGTACATTAATTTCTATAATATCGTGGAAAGTTGAGGTGAATACACTCATTTCTTTTTGCATTCCACGCATTTTCTGGAACATTAGCTAGAAATGCAGGAAATGTAGTGAAAGAACATAAATCATGATAACTATGTGTGTTAGGTTAGACAATCAATACCTTTTGTAAGCAAGTATGATGCCCCTCCCGAATCTACCCTTACCTAATTCTTTCATTAGATCAGAGTTGTACCAGCAGGTGCACATGCTCTGGCCGTTTAGTTCTTGTGACATGCCTTATTTTCCATCTATTCAAACTGATGTACTCGTAAGGAAAATATGCATCATTCGAAATATTCAAATTCCTGAAACATTTATTCGATTGATTAATTATTAGATATCACTCGGACCTTTGGCCCATAATAGTATTATGTATTATCAGTATCAGACACACTACACAGTACAGGTTAATTATTAATGACGCTAATGTTTAATTAATTAAAGTGAAAATAAACGGCTACTTGAAGTAATTAGCAATTAACCACGGAAACTATTTATATAGCATTTACATACATATGTATCCATGCCAAGTCCAACCTGTCTGTTTCAACATTTGGACATTGCCCAACTCTGCGTAAGACACACTTCGCCTAGATTCGGATTAGATGTGACGCTATGTATTCCATGTAATTCGGAACATGGCTTCTGTCCTACATAATATTTGCCTTGTACACTGCACATGAGCCGCGGAAGGTGTACCGTGGCACTTTGGGTCATTAACATTGTAAGATATGTAAATAAAAGTGACTGGCTTATTAACATTGCGAAGAAAGCTTCCCCAATTTTTTGGGCGACGCAAAACCCAAGCCCCCAAAGTCCCCGTTCTTCCGGTGGGCCTGGATCAGGGTTCGGAAAACCCCGGGGTTTTTCTAGAAAAACCCAAACCCGGGGGTTTTTCCGGGGTTTTTGGGGTTTTTGTGGGTTTTTGGGTTTTTGTGGGTTTTTGTGGGTTTTTCCAGATTTTGGGGCAGGTTGAATCCAAATTCCTAAAATTATGTATTAGGGAAAAACTAATTTAAGAAACGAATTTAGCGTGCAATTTTAAACGTTATCATTGACTTTGACTAGTAAATCGAAAATTAGTGTTTAACATGTAAACCTGAAAATATGCAATAATATTTGGAAATTCAAGTCGCACATGAAAGTTCTCAAAATTTCATGATCAATCCGAAAATTGAATTAGCATTGATCTAAGTTGTTGTTTAAAAGATTTTGTTTCAATCTACACCAAAATCTTACAAAAACCCTGGAAAAACCCACAAAAACCCACAAAAACCCGCAAAAACCCCATTAAGCATTAGGGTTTTTCCGGAGATTTGATACCCCAAAAACCCACAAAAACCCCAAAAACCCTAACCCACAAAAACCCGGGGTGGCGAACCCTGGCCTGGATCTTGGAGAAAAATATCCAAGTCAAAGTCAGGAGCAGGCTAGTGATTACGGGAAAAGTGGGGAAAGTTGTGTTACAATGATCGCTTATATACCATTTGCGTTTCCTATCCATATTTTCTTGTCGGGTAAGAGAGAGAGAGAATAGAATTATTTTACGAGCAGGACAAGGGCACGAGCTATTATTTATGACTCAAATTATGGACATGTTAAAACCTTGGGGGAACGAAAGAAAGGGTGGCTTTGGTTGGTATATGTATGTACAAATGTAACCAAGCCTACACATATACGCGACCAGGGACAGGAAGTACGTCAGAGATAAGTTTCTAATAAAAAGAGGTGACTTTTTCTATGCGAACACAAATCTATATTGTATTTTTATGTCGTGTGATTCTCACAAGTATGTACATACATATGTATCTATAATGGGTAGACTGGAAACTGGAGAATTATGTAAAACAGGTCAGTCGTCTGGAAATGGGAAATAGTTTATGTGAATTTTTCTACTTTTAATACCTTTGTTTAAGTATGATTGAAAAAATAAGTTAAACAACAGGAATACGAAAATCGAAACTAATAAAAGCATGCATACATACGTAAGTCATAAAGGTTGCAAAAATGTTACTGAAAATATTAGGTAAGCACATGACAGTTGAAGTTGAATATTTCTGGCCTGCAAAAAGACAAAGGGACGCGGATGTGTAAAATTGATCAAACACAAGCCCGCCTAAAATGTTACATGTAATACTGCGGACTGAGCATAAAGGACGTGGTCGATTGAGATATTTTATCACACCATCTATCCTGAAATGTCCCTAAGGATGACGTCATGCATAGTCCATCGAGGTTACCTTTATGGGTCAAAATGATCCGATAATCGGTCACAATTCACCTACCGGATGTATGTACAGTACTCGCGTTAAAGAAATCCCTGCCAACAAGGTACATAGATAGGTAGAGTTAGTGGTTTTGTGATTTGGCACGAGTTACATATATTATGTATTCCATTATCGTAAAATCCGTGGTGTTTTTCGTTTTCTGGAGCTAAATAGGTAGTCGTACATATTTACATATTTATTTCGCAGGGCCAAGGTTTCAGTTGTGCTATGTATGTATGTACACGTGCACGTGTGAGGAATGGTGATTGTTGGATATGAAGAAATAATGGGGGAAAGGGCCATGCGGGGGAGATGTGATTGATTTTAGATACATAAATATGCTTCTTTTGTGCATTTTGCGGAACTTCGTGGAGTTCAACGTTGGGAAGAAATGGTGCAAGATCACGTTTATTATGCATTTGTTTAGTATTGGATAAATCGCTAATGGGAAAATGGGAATGTGGTGTGAGTGGAATTTAAGCGTGTTACCGGATGTGTTCCAGTTTATGAGAACAACTTAACAAGTCCAAATTATTCGCTAATACATGAATATGTGTAACTTTCACGTTGTAATTAATATACATATGTACATATGTATGTGCTCATATGTATTTGCATACACAAGGTAACCCGTGTATATGTCTGAATACATTTGCATTTTTGTGATTAATGGTTCACAACAATTTTATTTTCCTCCACTTTTCTGTACATTTTGAAATTGCCTGAATATTAAATATAAGTATTGGTAGACGCGCAAATTTAGTTGGTGCTAAATATTTATGAATGTATATGCATATGTGTGCGTATGTATGTACATACATACCTATGCACATTTGTAGGTATTCTCCATTCTGCAAGCAATTTATATAAAATTGGAATCAATTCAAGCATTTTGTTTAAATTTTAAAAAAATTGACAATAAAATCTTGGATGTACATAGATTAGTCTAATGTCAGACCGCACAAATAATATGTGAAAAATTTAATGCGAAACTAAAGTTGTGACAAATGATTAAAAGAATATGAGAATAATAACTCTCGACCCAGATTTGAAGATAACACAAAAATCCTTACAAACTAAATATTGAAAGTATGGTATGGTATTTTTTCGTCATGAATAAAAATGCACACAAATAGTACAAACAAGATAAACCACTTAATCCAAGCACTCGGAAACCTTGGGCTGTCGATTTGATCTACCAAGTTAACCAAATTATTAGTGAACGTCTAGAATTTCGAGATTCACAATGCATTAAGCTACATAATTTCCCTAATATCGGGATAGTATTGACCTTGATGCACAACTGCCTGTAAAATGCATCCGATGTAAATCTAATAATACTTCCTTAAGTTAAATATTAAATGTATCGACTTGCTATTTGCAACGTGAAAATTAAAAAGAAAAACTCGATATGAATTTGGTCACGGAGGAGAAAGTAAGCCTAAATATACAAAAGGAAAGTCATGTCTATCCGAAAAGGAGAAGTTAGTAAATAGGTCACCAATGTAGGATTGGGATTAATGGACACAAAACAAGTTCAAGGGTAGGGAGGACGGAAACACGTTGAATAATGGCCGCATTGTACTCTGAGCAGAGAAATGTATACATACATATACATATGTATGTACATAGAGACAGTGGCCGCGGAAGCGTGGGGATGTTTCGATGTGTCCAACATCTGTCCGTCTTATGAACCCCTCACCCTCCCTGATCCTTCTATGTTAATATCCCCAGATGTCCCATGACTTCCGCCCCCACTGTATAGGGAACAAACAATGCAGGAAATGTAAATTCCACTATGGAATTTACTTTTATGCACGAAATGTGCATTTATTACGTATTTAGCTGGCAAAGTGTGGAGTGAAATTTAGGCATTTTCCTAATTTAGGCATTTTAAATTTAGTACATGACAAATTTTCCCAAAATTTGCAACGCTTCTTGAAATTCAGTCCCCTTACTTTTCGACTTGAAAAAATGCATTTAGACTACGCCGAATTAAAAATCTTGTAGGCACGCTTTGTATAAATTCATTGTTTAACCTCACGCACATGGAGGGATCATGGGCTTATGGTTATACACATACAGAAGTTGTGAATATACATACATACATACATATGTATCAGGGGTAATAAAAGCCTCGCGAAAATCCACTCTCCTCCACATGCTAAATTTACACACGCCATGCAACGCAGGCATCCGGGAATGGGACTCACTTTCTCTGAAATTCCGCATTTACGCTTTCTCATCTGCGTGAGTCAGTCCAGGATCTTGGATCCATCTTACCATGTCGAGGACTCAGGAAATTTCGTGTCAATAAAGAAATTCATCAAGTGCTTGAACATGTTTGTCGTTAATTTCAGTACTTGAAATTTAGACGTTTAAAACTTTTGTCAGCGATGTATTTAAGTATGATGACGGGTATGACCAAGCCGGACCGCTATCTTCTCCACCGGAAGAAAAAAGCTGTACTTCTTAAAAATGCGGGTCAAAAGGTTAGCCAAATTTTGTCAGGACTATGTTGAATAAATATTTTGTAACCGAATCTACATAATTTTGTATTTAGTACACGATTGGATCTGGGGAAAACTTGGGGAGTTTCGATCCAGAAAAATATGAACAGTTTTTGATATTTCCGAACAATGCGGACCTTCCCGATGAGCACTGCCAAATCGAACTAACACTTAGCCTGCCCACAATAAGTACCTATTAAAAAACTACGGGTCGAGTTGGTTTTTGTATTTTTATAATTTTCGGGTTTTAGGTTGCTGGTTTTAATAATTCAAATACAAATATTGATCCTACAATAGTAGAACCTCGTTAATGATTATTAGCCGCACTGAAGCCTGGTGCAACCCCTGTCGCCCCCATAACGGGGTTGACCCAAATGCCACCGGCGGAAGCGGGGGCGCAGCTCCTGGTTGCCCAGCTCCTCGATCACTTTTAGCGGTGCCACAGCGGCGTCACTACCTGTGGACAAGGCAAATCTGGGGTCAATTCAAAACTCCCAATTGTACGACCCCTTTAAACTCACCCGCCAATGCGACCGGGTGGGCATTAGCCATCCATGCAAAACTGAGCATGACGAGGAGTGAGGCGACGATTAAAATTCGGGGACCCATTTTAAATTTCTAAAAAAACAACAAGAAAAAAATGCTCTACATTTTGGTTTGAATTTATTTTGTTCTTTACAAACCTTTTTTACCGGATAAATAGCTGGAATGAGTAATTGATTGATGAGAATAATTCCAAAACATCTCTCCGTTTTATAGGGAGGCTCAGGTCGTACGTCGTATTTGACATTACGTAACTTAAATTGAACTCAAGGATTCGTAATTGTCCTCGTTGCCTTGCCCGGCACTATGAGGGACTTGTTCAGTCGTTGTGCATGTCTGTCTGTATGTGTGTCCAATTGAGATTTTCAAACGTATGTACATGTATAGACATCGCGGGTAGTAATTTCAACACTGTTAGAAATCTGATTTCTCGGGATTAAGCTGGTTACCGCGTGGTAACAAGTTATTCCGGTATGTAAAAATTTGCTACCGACATTGTAAAACCTTAATACCGAGCTATACCGTATTACTAATCAACACAACTCTGGTATTTCGAGCCATACAAAAAATATCTATATTATAATTTCCAAAAGTCCGTCCCGTGGAATTTTCCGTGACATCCCTGCATTCTGATTGGCTGTTGCAATTCTGGCTCCACCAATCAAGGGTTATAATTTCGGTTATGATTTAGGTTATGATTTCGGTTATTATTTCGGTTATTATTTAGGTTATGATTTCGGTTATGATTTAGGTTATGATTTCGGTTATGATTTAGGTTATGATTTAGGTTATGATTTCGGTTGTGATTTCGGTTATGATTTCGGTTATGATTTAGGTTATGATTTAGGTTATGATTTAGGTTGTGATTTCGGTGATTTCTGTTATGATTTAGGCTTAAAGAATCCTAAAAGTATTCGTTAGCTACCTGCAAAATTCTCCCTACCCAAGTAAAATAAAATAAAAATAAAATCCTAAAATTCCTATTTAGCAAAGTTAAAAAATTCCTTGGCAACGTTAAAAAAATTCTTTAGCAACGTTAAAAAATTCCTTAGCAACGTTAAAAAAATTCCTTAGCAACGTTAACAAAATTCCTTAGCTACATTAAAAAATTCCTTAGCAACGTTTAAAAAATGCCTTAGCAACATTTAAAAAATTTCTTAGCAACGTTAAAAAATTCCTTAGCAACGTTAAAAAATTTCGTTAAAAAAACTCGCTCCAGTTACATATGTACTTCGTTAATCCAAAGATTTTGGTGGGTTCGTTTTAAACTCTAAATTTGGACCGTCTTTAAGACGGGCTTATAGGCTAGTTTCATAATAATTCATATGAGCGTGGATTTATACAAGCGTACTAATACTGGCTCATCATTTGAGCTATGTATGCTAATTTATAAGGATTTTGCGCTAGATGGAGATTATTTTTTAAACAATTTCTTGCCGTGTGTTCCACGCATTTACGTATTTTGTGCGCATTGAATTGCAAAACGAAAAACTAGACATCGGTGATCCAAAGTAGAGATATCTACAATTATCTATTAACCGATTCGCAAATCCGCATATTAAGCCCAAGTTCTTCGAATGAATATGTAGGGAAATTTTTGCGAATTTCATCACCATGGTATGAGACGGATCTACTCTGACTCGGGCTACATAAATAAAAAATCGCACCCTCGCCCTCCGCTTTATCATATGTAATGGAACAATTGAGTAAGTACAATGTCTTCTTAGGCACAATGGAGCGTAAAACTTTCGCAAAACCAAATTCGAGACGTCAAAGCGAGAATTTGCGAAGCTATGAAATTTTTTATACAATAAAGGTGAAATTCTAGTAAGAGAGATTTTAGTAGTCAATTTGAATGAAAGCGACTCATTAATGCATTTCCTGTCTCGGATAAAAGTGACAAATTTATACGCGCATTTACATATGTACATAAGTATGTCGAAATGGTGTATTCTGTTAAATTAATTTGTTCATTGTACTTTTAAGAATTACTATTTATGTATTTCAAAAAATTTTAATAGTCATTTCGATGTCTACATATATATTTTTCAATATTACAGTTTAATCAACAATTACTTATGTAACTGTTACAGAAACATTAAAAGGTAGCAAGTAGTTTCAAATTATGACTCGAAATTATTGACTGACGTTTGTCCCTTTTACTTGCCGATGTCACAAATACCCATATATAAATAAGTGTATTTACGTCAAATCATACCGATAAGTCATAACGAAATGTATTTATCGTCATATAAAGTCATGCTGATAGGTCATATTTACAAATAATGTCAGGTCCTTCACATATTTATCGTACATACACTGTTAAAAATCTAGTAGACTCAAATATACATATGTACATAGCCACATAGGTATACATAGGGTCTCGGTACCGGTATTGACTTGGTAATAACTCGTTACCGGATTGGTAATAGTTTGTTTCTGAGTGGTACATGCATATGGATTTCCGCACGGTATACTGCACTACTATGCGGTAATGCCCGTTATTACCGTGCCGGTGAAGTCATCCTGAATGATTCAAGAAATTTTGCTAAGAGTTTGTCAGCAATGGTTCAATACCAGTTTTCTAAGAGGGTACCCATTACTCACCCCCATACATGCATATTTACATAAATGAACAAGATTCAATCCTTTTCAATGAACAAGTTTAGTGTGTAAAGACCAGCTTGGCTTTAACTAATACCATGAATATGTATTACACTAATATAAATAAATATACTTGCTAATATAAATTCATGACTAATACATACACATCTGCACATCGCATAAGAATATGTATGTATGTATATAAGTAAACGTTTTTTGCACACTTTTTCATCGCAAACCTACTTTTCACAAGGTTTCCAACCTTGCTAGTCTTTAATGGATGTACAATTAATTTCTTCAACTTCAACTTCTTTGCAGTTGGACATTTATTACCTGCCCATTTATTACCTGCCCGTGCTCTGCGTACCTATTAAGTTTTTTCTCCACCGTAACGACTCCTGAGATCACTTTGTCGTACAATTTGACATGAATAATGCAATAATTTTTTTTACCCAGGGCTGATTAAGCGCTTTCCAGCTCACCTTCACCATCCTGATGAACTGAACTGCTTCAAGGATAGATGTACACTCTTAGCAAAATGGTGTTGAATCATTACTGACCGAAGTACATATACATATGTATGACTCCACCGGCTCGGTAATAATAGGAATTACCGTACAGTAATGTTGTTGTAATGAATGATTACCATTACCACTCAGAAAAAAAACTACAACCCATCCGGGAGGAAGTTATTGCACTACAAAAAAATATGAAGTCACAGATACACTCCGTGAATTGATTTGGTATTAACTTCCCCCGCCTTGGTGACAGTTTGATTCCGAGAGTGGTACGTTTTCATCACGACATTAGTGTACTTTTACTACCATACGGTAATTCCCGTTATTATAGTGCCGGTGAAGTCATATGCACTGCGGCCGGTGATGATTCAATACCATTTTGTTACCAAATCAATACCAGTACGGGGCGCATATGTACATATCTATGTAAGTATTTAACTACACTACCGGTATCAAAATCACCAAAACTCGGATTCAACATTGTAACCAAGGCGTTTAAGTCATATATTGACACCGGCGGTGTTGATTCGACAAATTGTTATTTTGAGTATATGTATCTACATATCTATGTAGATTTGAAAATTGTTGAGCTTACCGATTATGAAGTCGTACGTTTGTATCCTTGGGAGGCTTAAATCTGGTCCCAGCTCTGTCAGAGCCATATCCAAGTCGTCTTTCCGATACTGCTCGACGTACTGCTTTATCATTAACGAAACCGAAGTCACGACGAAGAAAGAAAGCTTAAACATGGTTGCTACTGGGAAGAATTTACATAACACGTAAATTTGAACTTCACGGTCAGGACATGATCGTCTAAAGGATGACTGAAAACTTACGTTTTGCTGACCGAATTAAACAGATTATCCTGTAATTTGCTCAACGTGTTCCTCACCCGAGGAAAATAATAATAACTCATGCACATTGATACCGAAACAACGAATATGTTCATGGATACGCTCATTTCATGTGTGCAATAATAAAGTCATTGACATAGAATATTTACATGCATCCATGAAATTTATATGCATGTAGGTATGCGCATACAAATATTGTGTATCTCAAAATATTTACCCACCTCGTATAAACTGCTACATGCATGTAAATATCTATGTCAGTAATTAGGTGGACACCTTATGCATAGAGTATTACCTGTCGAGGTAATCGTACCGATTTATATGGATCCGTTCGCAAGGAAAAAACTTGGTGCGTGCTAACCTCTATTACTAAACCGCATTATCATTTATTGATTTGAGTATGTATTCGCAGAGTATGCATCATTATTTATATGCAGGGTTTCGATTTTCCCGTTCAAATTAACATTATCTAATTAAGTTAAAGTACCGTGCCGACAATCCACTAATCCGTATTATTCAGAAAAAATTCAAAAAGTTTAATTGGACCCACCATCCCGCTTCGTGATTTTCTATTCGACATAAATCGGATGACACGGGAAAAGTATTTTTCAGCCTTTATGTGAGGACATTCGTGTAAAAAAATATTTAAAAAAATATTAATTCAAGCCAATTGTGCAACTTCTGAACCGCTTGGTACTCAAAAATAGCGACTGGACATTCAAGCAGGGCTCAGGTCCTGCTCATGAGGCCAAAATAGTAAATGGGTGGTTCAAATCCATGTGTCGCTTAGAAATGAGACTAATATTCCGTGGAATGCATCAAGCAAGTGAGATGTTGATACCAGGACTTTGGGGTCTTCTAGCTTCAGAAGGGGGAAATTTTGAAAATGCTTGCTATATTTCGTAGGTAATTTAATGAGCTTTCTCGTGATATCGCTATTTTTCAAAATTCAATAAACTGAGTCCGCTACATTCATTTTTGTAGTGGTCAGAACTTCTGGCAATATTATGTAGACACTGTCGCGTGTACGACCACTAGTCCATGAAAAATTGCACGTACTACATACTTATGTCTACATATTCCTGTTCCAAATTGTACCAAATGTTTAAATATTGTTTGGTAATTTTCTCCAAAACCCCAGAACAATATATATTCAATTCTAATATTTATTGGGATCATTATATATGTCCATTGTTCCTCTAACCATTCTTAGAAGCAAATAAGGTAAAAATGAGCATAGATTAATGAAGCAGTAATTAACTAAATTTGATTTTGCATAAACTCTTATTTATCTAAATATTGTATAATATACATGTTTACAGTATAAGTACCTGTTAATTTAGTGAAAATAATATTGAAATTACATATTCTGCATTGCAATGCTCTCCTCACGAAATAAAATATAATACATCTGTAACAATAATTTACACACCTTAACGGTAAAATTTCAATAATAGATTCTGTTTAACGCCACTTCCAACTCGGTGGACGAAATTCTCTTCATTTCATCCGGGTTAACCAACTTATTAATTACTTTTACCCAAATTGCAAACCTCTCTTGTACAACAGCCTCTTTTAGATATAAATATCTATGTCTTGAAATTCCAAGATTGTGCAATTTTTCCGAAACCTGCGCCACATTAAAGCCATTCCCGTCCTGTTGTACTAACTCCAAAAACACGAGGCCTAAACTCCACATGTCCGCCTTTGTCGTGTAACCAAACCCACGCTTCATTTCCGGACTTCTGTAACAGTCGGTCCCCACCTGGCCGAAAGTCTTGTCCAAATCCCTCGTTGCTAAACCAAGATCCCCCATTTTCCAGATACAGCCACAAATTGGGTGTACCTTACAAAATATATTTCCCGGTTTTATATCCCGATGAATGAACCCCTTCGAATGAATGTAACTCAGCCCTGTCGCGATATCTTTGAATATGGCGGCTACATGTCCATTTGCAAAATTTGGGATGAGCTGATGATTCTCTAAGAAATATTTCAACGTGAATTGACAGAGTTCCATCTTGATGTAAATATTGCTCGGGGGCACCCACATCAGACCGGTCGAGCTGGCTGAGTTGAGCAGAAGGGAATCCACGTATGCCTGAAGTTGAAACCGGTCTAATTTCTCAGTACCTTCTGCTTCCGCCCAACAGCTAATGTAGCGTACCACGTGGTCATTGCTGAGTCCACTAAGGACGACTATTTCATTCAAAACGGCAGCAAAATAGCCAACGTCCCTTGTGCTGAAGTTTGATGCGGCACTGCATCGAAGCGTTTTCCGAATATCGACGCATTTTACGGCGACGTTTGGATTAACCACGTCGGTCTGATCGATGGCCTCGTACACTTTTCCGAAACTACCAGATCCCAATAGCTGGAAGCATTTTAGAGAGTCGTCCGTCTTCCAGGGGGAGTGGGTGTCGTTAAGGGGAGATTTCAGATCAGTATCTTTAGTGTCGAAAGAGTATGTCCTAAGCTCATGAGGCGGTTCTGCAAAGAAAAATAACTCACAATGGAACCTTTTTTAGATCTAGGTACACTGGGATCGACTAGGGAGTTATATCCAAAAATCAAGCCAAAAATTAGGAGTCGCATGACGCTTATCCTTCCGTTGAATGGCCCTTTTGAAGAAAAATATTGGGGGTCAAAGTTCGCACTCATCCCTGGTCTTCGCCCCGTGGAGGAAAAAGCAAGAGAAAATTTGCTCATAAATTGAACATAACCGCCAATATTTTTCATCAAAGGGGCCATTCAATGGAAAGATAAGTGTCATGTGACTCCTAATTTTTGGCTTGATTTTTGGCAAACTCGCTAGTCGATTCCGGTGTAGCTCGAAAAAAGGTTCCATTGTGAATTACAATTATCTTCGCTGCTGCGAAATTTCTTGCCTTTTACGATTAATTTTTACACACACTCTAAAGAAAAATAAGTAAAATTTACTCATGGTTGAGTAAAAAAAGAGGATGGCACGACAATTGGGTAAAACTTGACCAGTGATGAGCAAAATTTCAAAAGGGATGCACGATTAATGTACATAAAGCATTGGGTAAGTTTTACTCAATTGTGGTGTCATTCTAAATATTTTTTACCCGACATACAGTAAATTTTGTCTATTTTTCTTTATCTTTAGTGTATGCACCTTATTTAAACTTCAATACCTGACATAATGCGATTGAGGAGGGGAGCTTCACCACCTGCCCTTCTCAGATCTCGATGCCCTTTGGATATGTTGTAGGGTCCCATGAGTGAACAACAACCCTGAAGTGGTTTGACTCCATGGCCACATTTGCGCCCGCCACACCCACTCAGAGGTGCCAAAAACAGGAAAAAAACCATGTTTTCATGTGCTTCAAATGTCACCAAAAATCCAAGTTTGCTTGGATTTTGATAAAATTTACATTTTTGTGATCCAAGATACTTGGGTGATCATATCCAGTAGATATCTCAACTTTTTTGAAATTTTGAATTTTTTCGACTAATCGTCAGCTCGAAAATTTCGAAAATTTCAAAAAAGTTGAGATTGCTATTGGATATTATCACACAAGTATCTGGGATCACAAAAATGTAACATTTATCAAAATCCGAGCAAAATTGGATTTTTGGTGGATTTTTGAAGTTGGTAACTTTTGTAGTTTTCATCCCTTTGAGTGGGTGTGGTGGGCGCAAATGTGGCCATGGAGTGAAACCACTTCAGGGTTTTAGTACACTCATGGGACCCTACCACATATCCAAAGGGCATCGAGATCTGAGAAGGGCAGGTGGTGAAGCTCTCCTCCTGAGAAGGACACTCCTCGATATCCTTTTGTACAAAAGGTACCCAATTAACACGACCAACACAACCGAGCTAACATAAATATACACCATTTTTCCTTCAAATGAGTTAATTTTCTCATCCACGCTACTTTCACAATCAGAAACTCCATTATTCACTTCGGTAACTGGGATGCATCTCGGTTCATTTCCTCCACAGTAAAACTCTCCTTCCCCGCATCGGTTCAATCGGGAACAAAACTTTGGGTTTTCATCGCTCCCGTCAATGCAATCCGCCACAGTTTTTGGAGGGAGAGGCATTTTCCTTCATCGCAGTTGAAACTTTGTGAGCCACACCTGCCAAAAATGGTGATATTAAGCTTAATTGAAACAAAATATTCACTTCATCTTGAGATTCAAACTAATTACCCATCCAATAGCGAATTGGGGTTGCGAAGATAACTTTGATGTTTCTTAACTTCCTCATTAAACTGGTCTAATTGTATGTTTTGAACGGCTGTAAAATTCCCAGATGTTACGTTACACGCAAAATATCCTGAACTTGGCAACTTTTGAATTATAAGCTGAGTAGAGGAATTCTGGTAGTTTGCTCGTATTTCATAATTTGACTAGAAGTAAAAAAAATAAACCGTAGTAACGTTAGAAGTAGCTCGTCCTGTAACACTTCTGTGACAACATTAGTTGGTACATAAACTTCTGCACCAATGGTGCAAAATAAATGGACAAAAAATGCATGAGATTGATAGAATTTTACACCGGTGGTAGAAAATAAGCGGACAAAATAGATGCATAATCGTCGTGGGGTTTTGCACCAATGGTGGAGAATAAGCGGGGAAAATATACCCAGAAATTTTACATGATTTTGACTTTTTTAGACCCCCTTCGTGGGGATATATTTCTGTGGGTTATTCTGCACTTTTGGTGCGTATTGAATCAATTCTCCCAATTGTTTGGCACCATTTTATGTATCGCTTGGTCGATACGAATGGTGCTATTAATTTCCTAAAAATTGGACATGGGCCTATTTAATTAGCATCAATTGATGCAAGAAACTCATTAACAGACAGACAGACGGACAGACAGACAGACAGACAGACGGACAGGAGGAATTCAATAGCTCTCATGCTACGCAGGACGAGCTAATAAGGATATCGGAATAATTACAAGGTCGTATTTATATATCAGAGGCCAACGCCGCCACCGGCGATACATCCGAGTTCCTATTCCTTCAACCTTGAGATGCCGAAAAATGACGCAAATTGGCATCGCCGCCGCAAAATTGGTCAGCATTGACCTCTGATATATTTCTGTTTGAGAGCAACTCTTCTCCGACACCAATTGACAGGGGGCGCCCACAGATTTCAGGATTTCAGGAAAGAAAAGATTACCAAATTTTAGGAAAGAAAATATTTCAGGAAATACGGTGATACCAGTTCTGTTGCTGATTTAAGTTTTTAGTCCGAGTCAGGGCTTATGTACCCATCATGTCCGTCTGTCTGTCTGTCTGTCCGTCTGTCTGGTTTGCGATAACTGCCGTAAAACTAATCCGATCGACTTGAGATTTTGCACAAACATATTATGGGTCAAATGAGGAGTTAAGTTCGAAGATGGGCGAAATCGGTCAAGTGGTTGACCGGTGTGGGTCACATAGGTGGGTGGGGTATTATACATCAAAATTTCAAAATTGCCGTAGAAAGCTGAAATTTGGTGCAGAGATTTATAATGGTTTATAATGAAGGAATACAAAGTAAAATTGCAAAAATTTTCATCTGGAGGGACCCTAGGGGGTGACCCATACTGATTTTTAAAACTTATCCAATCGAGCTGAAATTTGGTACATAGGTTGTTAACCCTTTAAACTGTAACGACGACAATTGTCGTTTTATAAGAAATGGTTTAATTCGGGAGTACGACAAAAGTCGTCCTGAAAAATCGTGGTCATGGCGCGGAAGGAAGACAATTGTCGTTTCTAGGAGGTCATTGATTTTCACCATTTTCTCTCCGCGACCTAAAATTTGTTGCAATTTTGAGGGATTTCTCCTATGCCAACACAATGCTATATTTGAAGATTTTCTTCCCGAAAATTTGGATATTTCCCTATACAACGCAATGTTAAATTTTGGATTTTTCAGTTTTTCGAGTTTTATTAAAAACTCCTGAATTTCTCCTCCCGCGCCATGACCACAACATACTTTTAGCGTCCCCGATTTAATGCCTTTTCTTGTCGTTAATCATACACGTTAAAGGGTTAATGACTACTAATTGAAGAATATGAATTGAATCACCTGGACAGGCCCAATGGGGTGACCCATACCAATTTTTCAAATTCGTCAAATCGAGCTTAAATTTGGTAGACAAGTTGGTAATAGCTCCTAATGGAACAATATGAACTAAAATAAGAAAAATTTTCATCTGGAGGACCTTATTGGGCGACCAGGAAAAACAAATATGTGTGCACCAACAAATGTATACGAACCTAGTCACCCGCGTGGCTGGAATTTATATATGTTGCGTCTAATATTACGAGGATAATATCCTGAGAGTTTTAGGACAAAGTGTACACTCGTTTCAAAGTTATGGTCACAGTCGATACTGGTGACCAAGGGAAAAAATGTGTGCACTAACAAAAATTTAGTGATAGTCGATAAATTTTGGCATATGCGTTATTAAAGGCTCTTAATTGAAGAATTCGAAGTTTTAAAAATTTTAATTTGAAAACAGATTTACGCCTGACTCGGGCTACATCAAGTCTGCACTGTAGGTTTTTTATAAATGTCCCCTCTCTGCACTGTCGGGAGCAACATTGTTCTCAAACAGTATCTACAAAATATAAAACTTTTTTATATACGTACCACAATTTTAGAAATCTGCCTCTTTTCCAGCGAAGCTAGTTCGACACCATTAAAAATCCAAGATATCGACGTAGTACCGACCCCGGTAAAATAACGGTCGGCGGAAAGTACAAACCCCTCGTTTCAAACCGCTCATTACAAACCCGGCTCCTTACAAACCGCTTATTACAAACCCCGCTCATTACAAACCCGGATCATTACAAACCCCGCTCATTACAAACCCCGCTCATTACAAAATAACAAGTCAGAGATCTTCCAGTTTCGCCGAAATTTGGAACACTATTTCCTCTATCCCAAACCACACTGGTTATGTGGGGTTGCGCTGTGGGAATAAAACCATAATTTAATACTGTTATAAATATATCTTTTCCTTAGATTATCCAACTCAACATACGATCAAAAACAGGAAATTTTAAGGTTTTTTATCCCATCGTGACGAATTAAGGTGTGGCGCCCAACATGTTATGTCCAACTCTCCAATAAAATCAAGTGTCATTTTATCCTCTGCAAATTGCCATTGCTGACTTTTTATAGTTTTGCCATCGCGCGACGAAATTCCCTCGTCTAAAAATTTTGCAAAGGAATATGACTATTTATTTCTTAATTGAAAAAATCTGAGTCTTTCCATTTTTCACAACTTACAAATACTGTAACGGGAAGTGTCAAATACAATCCCATTTTTTGAAAGGGTAACCGCTAATCCGTCAGAGTACAATGCTTTTAATATGGAACAAGTCCAGAATAATGTGTCCCCAAAAATAAACTACTCAACGGCTTGATTTTCAGAATAACCAGCCGGATATGATCCGACAAACCTCCATCCAACGCTGACAAATCTGTAATTTATTTTAGAAACGTGCAGATTCTACGAAGCTTGAAGAATTATATGCTCTAAACAAACCTTGAGTGAAGACTAAAATTTGCGCTAAAACAACAGTTCTTTGTCTAAAATTTTCCCAAGTAAAGTTGAAATTTACACAACGTTGCAGGATTTTTCAATAAACCTTGGGTAAATTTCATAAAACAGTTGTTTCGACGCAAATTTTAGTCAACCTTGAGTATATTTCACTCAAGTTTATTTAGCGTGTATGTTGTCGTGCATTAGATAGATATGAACATACATGTCGTATTCCCGTAATGCGCAATTGGATGCCAAAATAGTTGAGTAAACATCGGCTGATTTGTCCCCTGGGCGAGGCATGTCATTAAAAATGCGCCATACGATTTTTCAGAACAAGTGTAATTGTTGACTTCTCCATTTATTCGGCAAGATGTGGAGATTTCTTCTGAAATGCAGTCTATGTTCTGGGTAGTAAATAAAATAAAATCCATATTATTATAACATATTAGGTACATAATTAAGTATTAATTGAAGTTAAAAAAATACGAACCCTGGGCACATAAAAGAAATGATTTCGACAAGTCGTGAACGAACCACATTTTGTAAAATTGGGCACCATGTTTATTTCAACGCTTTCCTCAGGTTGATTACTGTTTTGTGCTGACAAGCATTTAAAACAGGTAATCCGATCATTTCGGTGACACCATGATCCTCGAGCTTGACATAATTCTTCCTTACTTTCTTTCAGACTTGGAACATAATCTGGAAAAAAATTGTAAAATTAGTATGGATAAAAGCGAATAGCCAATGAGTAAACTCACGAGTTTGAAAAGAAGTTATTATTCAACTCAATTCAAAGTGAGTAAATTGAACAATAATTAACAAATTTACGGAAAATTATTTAGTTCGGGTTGACTTATGAGTCAAGTATCTATATGTCCTCTAGGGGTGCCTCGGTATCCGGTACCCGGCAGGGTATTTATATACATATATGTTAAAAATAAATGGAACATTTATAATTTGATCAGTTTAAAAATTGTAAGTTACAAAACTTGACGCTACATATATTGAAACATTATTACCGAGTAATTTTAAAATTTGTCCTATAATTTCAATATAAAATTTGACCGAATAAGTACCTACATATTCAAGCTACATAAATATTTTATTTTATACCGAGTAAAAAAATTAAATTCATGGGATTGAACAGGTTTTTACAAAATTTTGAATATTAAGTACGAAAATTGAATATACAAATTACTCGCCCGGGTTCGCCAAAAAAGGCCGAGAAATGTGTAATCTAACGTCTTCCATAAATTATCTATTGCCGTTCTGAGATCCATATAATTTTATCCGTACTTCAGTCCCATTCGAGGTGATCACCTTTTTCAGTTCAGGTTCTAAAGCTACCCGAGATATTAGTCCTGGACGTCCGAATGATAAACAAGACATGTTTGGATAACTGCTTGACTTCCTTGTAAAATTGATTACGGCATGAACTTGATACGTAGGTAGATTCGTCGAATAATTCGTCCTTGAATCCGAGCCGATACGTATAAATTGTTCGATCAATTAAAGTTTCGTCGTCATCCTTAAATAAAATGAATAGTAGAAGTCACGATAAAATTCAATTCATGTAAAAAAAGTTAGTTACCTCATTGATATGAAATATCCAATTGATTGGGTACGTTGCAAAACAATCGAATTCTAAAACTAGTGGAATTTCGTCCGGAAATGTGACTATGGTTTCATTTCTGTCCTTAACTATGTCAATTGGTGGTAACAGCTTAATTACTGGACAGTTATCGCATGCACGAAATTTTAGTAAGTCACACTTAACTAATATAAGCAACACTATGATGCACAGCGTTAAGTTCAGTAACATATTTAATGACGGCAAAAAAGGTTGTCAAATTGGAAATTAACCATAATACAATTTTAATATTTCTGGCTCAACAATTTAATTAATATTTAAATATTTACAAGGTCATTGTAAATCCAGAGTTTCGATTTGATAATTTTGTATACGGTAAATCAAAATGAATAAAAATTTATTGAAGGTTGAGTAAAAAAGAGGATTTGCCGTCTAACTCTGTCTGAGTAATAATAAATACTTGAAACGATAATATTGTGAACACAGTTTTATACTCTATTAAATAAATATTTACAGAATGCAAACATTCATTTGTGCGTATCTATTTGGAAAATGTCAATTCATACATGATTAAATTGTACATATGTAATAAGTGATTGGAAGAAGTACATACATGCGAAAAAATTTATCCCTGTTTCTTGAATAACACATGAATAACACATAGATATAGTAGAAATTCAATTTAGGATGTGGTTTACTGAATCACGGAAAAGTTATTATGCTGGAAACAATCCAAGGTGAATATCTATGACAAGTGTTACTTCGTATTTATGTTTAAGTTTTGTCGTTATATCATAAAATATTAAAATGCTTGAAACCGGTCGACGTCTTTTTGATAACGTGAGGAAAATGTGCTAATGGAATTATTTAACTTGGAACTTATCGAAAACAATCCACCTTAACACTATTGGACAAATGTATTTATTCGTATAGAATTAATAGAGGTATGAATTCGTACACTCTCAAATCAGGGTTGCAGAAATCTCATCTCACCCTCGTAAATCTCATCTCACTGAGATATAATGAGAAATAGTGAGACATGTGAAATATGAGATTTAGTGAGATTTATGAGCCATGCAGTAGCGCCACCTAGCGGACGGGGTCATGAACTACAAGTTTATCTCATTATTTCTCATATTTCTCACTCAGCCCCAAGTGAGATAAATGATATATATCATTAAATCTCACTAAATCTCACTCACAATGGAACCTTTTTCAAGCTACACGAGATAAGCTTAGTGACATATGCTAAAAAATCAAGCTAAAAATTAGAAATGACGTGGTACTTATCTTTCCGTTGAATGGGCACTTGGAGGTCAAATATTTGAGGGCAAAGTTCACAGTAGCGGCAGGTTTTTTTCTCAAGCGGGTGAGCGGAGGAGTGAAAATTTTCTCCTTCGAGGTCACTCTCGCACGCTCGCACTTCATTCAATGCATATTATTTTTGACAAAATTTCACAATCTCGTAAATTGGTGTATACATTCATCTAATTTTATATTTTCTTTTTAAAATCCTACTATCCACCGATCCGTAATAAAAAAGTGCCGATATGTTCAATAAATTATTATTATTTATATTATAAATTAAAATTATAAATCGAATATTATCCTCGAAAACCGCAGAGATGACTACTAAAAATTATAACTGCGTCTAATTATTTAATTAATGTATTAATTAATTAGAAATCATAATCCTTAAAGTTGACTTATTTTTATTGACACATTTCGTTGTATATTTTTGGAAATGCATACTAGTAACGAAACTAGCGCGACAGTGAAGGGAGCGGAGTGACTTCGAAGGAGAAAATTTTCACTCCTCCGCTCGCCCGGTTGAGAAACAACAGGCCGCTACTGTGAACCTTGCCCTCAAATATTTGACCTCAAAGTGCCCATTCAAAGGAAAGATAAGTACCACGTCATTTCTTATTTTTAGCTTGATTTTTTAGCATATGTCACGAAGCTTATCTCGTGTAGCTTGAAAAAAGGTTCCATTGTCAGTGATATATATCACTTGTAACCCTGTCTCAAATCTCGACGAAAAATAATTCTACGCATATGTATACCTAACCCTGTAAAATTATGTAGAACCATATATAGTGAATGCAATTAAGACGGGTAATTATGTAACACCTTATAATGACTTGATGAGTCATCCCATCCAAACATTACGTAGTTAAAACCTGTCAGTACGGGATTGCGGAGCCCGACTCAAGATATTTTTAATATACTACACAACGCCGTCAACCGTGGCAATTAGTAATTCCATAGTAGTACGGTACACAGTTAGAACCACCAGAATTTTCCGGTCATGCCAATTGTATTCTTCAGTGAGTAGTGCTGTCATATTCTCATAGGTACATTACGGCAAGTATTGTACGAAAAGTATAATAGGGTTCTTTCTTATATGTGAGTCCCACTATAATAAGTATGTCTTGAGCATATCTCAAATTAAGCCAGGGCTATAACCTACCAATTGTTTTCCAAAATTGGTATATATCATTCGACGGGTCGGCTGGCCTGAACATTTTGTTAATTTGCAACGCCACAGCTCCGACGGTAGTATTTTAATCGCAGCTGCCGCCGATATATCTGATTCATTCTAAGTCGAGCTGTTTATTTGCATGTATCCAAAATTTTAATTCCATCGGATTCGTTTAAAAAAAATATCGTAAGACGGACGGACAGACAACACGGGAATATAAACCCTTGGTCTGGCTGAAAAATATAAAATGCATATATAGCCGAACCAATTACAAGTACATGGCAACGTTAAGCTGTTATGTTCTTAGCCAAATTTATTAAACACGATTAGGTGGCAATGTGTAGGGATGTACCTGAAGTATTACGTATCTCGCCCTTTTGTATTGACATCAGCTTTAGGTAATTTTACCAAACTTGTTGACAACAAGTTGTTGTCCACAATAATAAATAAGCTACCTAACCTTACCATACATATCTATGGTAACCTATGTACATACTTAAGTAATACAAAATAAAGCAATTTGGTGTAAGTAAAGTTTGTATTACGTAGGTACCTACATACTTACATATTAGCACTTGTAGTCCTTCCATGAATTTATATTTCTACTCTTATGAGTCCTTCATATTGTCTGAATAACTATGTATGGATATACCCAGCCAGCAGATTGTCCTAACTCTTCAAAATCTCAGAGAAATCTCAGAGAATACTGGTCGGTCGACTTACAATGGAATCTTTTTTCAAGCCACACCAGGATTTTCTGGCTGGGTATATCCAAAAGTCAAGCCAAAAAATTAGAAATCAAATGGCACTTTTGATTTCGTTGAATGGCCCTTTCGAAAAAAAAACATTGGCGGCAAGCAATGAACTTTGATAACACATTCCATTGACATGGATCACATAATTTCAAAATTTCAACCAAATCCGAAGGTTACACCATCGCATTGTAAGTTGAATCTGAAGGAGTTTAATTTATTTAGTTTCTTAATTTTAGTGTTTGGGACACAATTTTAACGATTCCTTTTATAATACACATGTGGGAATAGTAAGATTGAGTTGTAGTGTACGAGTAAAAATTATTCGATTCGACAGAAAAATCCAATGACTATTTTTAGAGTAGCCTTTCAGTATTTATATGGATAAGACACACTGGTAATTTAACTTATTGACAATGAGTTACATATATCACCCCAAAACTTTTTTTATTTGTTGATAAAAATAGAGTAGCACACCAGCCAAAAGTAAAAAATAGTCATTTTTATGGTCGTATTTTAGGAGTTTTTCATTCATACTTTAAGGTTTTATCGGTCATTTATATCCGACGTCTGGTGGATACACATCTTCGTTGACACCTCGTTCTTTCTCCCCTTTTCGATCACGTCATACTCCACTTATTGGGGAATATGGTAGAAATCCTTTCGTAAATATCAGTCCCACCTTCCACCCACCCCCACCGGCTAGAAGTCTCTCCTGCCTCACCCCACCCACAATGCCGCTTCCTCCTAATCCCTCCCACATTCCACTTTCCCTCCGCGGGGAATGAAATATCCAAACACCTCAACGTCTCACACGGCACAACGCCCTCACCCAAAAAGGTTTCGTACAGGAACAGCATGGTCGCTTCAAAATGGAAATTTTCATCCGGCTTTCCCACTTTACCTATCAATGCCAAAGGAATTTTTTTCCGTACCACGCGCACAGTTAACTTCTCGATAGCAGGAAATTGTTTGCTATACACTAATTTAACCTCATCCCCTCCTGTCTCAAAATTTAAGGAAAGATAAGGTCGAAACCAATTCGATTCGTTGCAAGTAGTACAATCGTATATAATTTCTTCTCTCAAAATTTCGAAAACTTTCAATCTTGGCAGAATCGGAACCACAATGTGTGGCCATTGAGTCTTCGTTTCAGCGATGTTGGGCACGGAGGAGATGCACACGTGTTCCAGCTGTGGGGCGAGGAGGGAAAAGAGCCCGACGGCATCGAGGGTGCCGTCTTTTGGAACATAGAATTCGAGCTTGGTCACATTTGCATAACATTTTTGAAGAGGTACGTTGAATTTGGAAAATTTTATACAGATATGTACTAAGTATCCCAGGTACAGTATTCTTTGCAGTGAGACTGATTTGAGGTGGGGGAATGTAGCGTCGCTGTCCTCAAGCAGTGCACCTGGCACGTTGCACAAGGTGAGATTGGCCACGTGTTGGCTGAAAATCGTTATAATTTGGGTAACCAGGGACATCACTTTTTCCCACCTTTTATACATATCAAAAGGATGAGGATTGAACACGTTTACCGTCAATGTGGTCACTTTTTGTATTGCGACATTATCTGGAAATAGTTCTTTCCAGCCTTGATCAGTGGAAACCATTTGTTTGTGATGGACTAAAAGTAGGTGGAATTTTAACGATGTCAAATTTTTCAAAGATTCGTAAAGTTTGACCAAGCGAGACGCCACGTGGCGTAGGTTATTATCGACGGGGAGATAAATGCTTAATTTTGTCACGGTTTTGAGATCGATAGTGTTGAGTGTTTTTATCGCTTGAAGTACAATTTTAGGAGGGTTGACTTTAAATAGGACGATTTTGAGGTAGCGAGGAGATAAGTTGGAAAGGGAGACGAAATCCGTTGTATCGTTGACGTTTGACATTAGCTGGAGTTCGACGGGATGTCGAACGAGGAGGTGTCGCAAGGCTTCCTTCTCCCACGTGGAGTTCACTAGAGATGTGGATTCTAGATCGGGCGAAGGCAGAAATTCCATAACTTTGGAAATTATCTGTACGAGCAAAAAAAAAGTTTGGAATTACATAGACTCTTAAAAATAATGTTACCCGTTTGAAAAGTAAAAGCACCATGAACTCTATATTAAGTTAGCTTTACTAAATCCAGGCTAAACTTTTTTCTTTATCAAGGTAACGTTACTCTGGATTTTGTATGACTGCTTTAATCAATTTAGAGTTCAAAGTGCGTTTAGGTACTTTTCAAAGGGATAAATCATTGTTAAGAGTTTGATATTTCTTAATGATCAATCATTAAGATAAATACGTTTCTAAATTAGGCAGAAAATTACCTCAGGGAGATAGAAAATTAAATGACTGTTGCCCTCCATGCTGCACAACTTGGACTCAGCGTTTGGAAATATTCTTAAAATGTTAATAAACCGTAGTAACGTTAGAAGTAGCTCAACCTGTAATAATGACTTGGTTATAACTTGCCCCAAAGGTGCAGAAAAATGCAACAAAATAGATACATAATTTTTATGCAATTATGCACCAATGGTGCAAAAAAATCCAACAAAGTAGATCAATAATTTTTATGCAATATTGCACCAATGGTACAGATAAATTAAACAAAATAGATCAATAATTATTATTCATCGAGGACAGTCCAAACATTGGGCATCACTGGTACAGAATTACCTACCAACAATCAACGATAATTTTGAAAAATTTATGTCAAAATTGTCTGATAACATCCGCCGACTAGTATGCATTATTGGTGCGCTATGCATCAAGTCTCCCAATTCTTTCGCATCAATTGGTGTTTCCAATTGTCAGATACCAACGATGCTATTAATTTATGAAAAAATTGACCAGGGACACATTAATTAGCATCAATTGATGCAAAAAGGTCGTTAACATACAGACGGACGGACGGACGGACAGGAGGAATTCAATAGCTCTCGTGCTACGCAGGGTGAGCTAATAACGTTATTTCAATGAGGGTCGAGTAGGAATTTATTCTGCTGGTCGCTTTTATGTAAATGTGGGGCAATGAACTTTAGCAGTGCCTTTTTATTTAATGGACAAAAATAACTACTAAAAACTGCATGCCCTGTTATGTATCATCCTGAACTAGAAATAGAAAAAGGGTTTAATGCAGAGGAGGGCCGATTTCCGGTAAGCTGTAATAAATATAACCTATGTATTAATGCTAATATGTATGTACTATACAATCTTAAAAATAGTATCATTTGAAAAGTAAGTAGGTATATATACTCCAGATACTATTTATAGTAAGAAAAAGTACTAAGTCCGGAGTAATGTTAACAGATAAGATAAAGAGTACAAATTTTACTGCAAAATTTACTTTGGATTTTGTACGGTGTACTTAATATAAAATTCAGAGTACTTTTTAAAAAGGTAACATTATTTTTAAGAGTGAAGCGTCCCCAATGAATGGAGTTTGGGATGAATGAATGAACGTTTTATTAAGTTATTAACCGTGTGACGTTTTGCTCCAGAATTCTACAGAGTTATAAAATTTCACATGTTTTCTTTTCACAAGATGTACATACATATGTAGCTAAAAAATTCCAAGGGTGTTTTTCGTAAATTTTCTCGCCATTTAACCAAATCTTAATATTTTTTGAAAGCTTTTGTAGCACCTTAATAAGCACAATGTGTAAATCAGCGACAATTAAAAAACCGGACCTCTGCAAGATTTTGGCCATAATTCAAAGAGCAAACTCATATGCGGGAACTATGTACATGTTACAATTTATTACGAAATATAAAGTTAAATTGTACATTTAAAATAAATTTAATCAAGATTTTAAAACTACTTAATTTTAAACTTTTATCACCTGGTTTCCTATTCCATTTGAGTTTAGTACTTATTTAGTAATTATTTATCTAGATATTTACTAGTTTGCAACCAGGGCCACTACTCATGAAATGACGTAAAAAACGCAGGATTATCTAACGGACACATATTGGGATCGCTATTTGGATCCAGATAATCCCGAAGCATGAGGCACGCCGTTTTCTCAGCGGCAAGTTGCGTGGGAGCATTCGGATTTCCGTTCGTCGAAGTTGGAAGAACGCTGGCATCAACGACGCGTAATCGTGAGACTCCACGCACCCTGTAAAAGACAATTTTGCAAATATGTACAAATTATCAATAGTGTTCGAATTTTTAACTAACTTTAATTCCGAGTCGACCACGGCGAGTGGATCATCTCTTCTGCCCATTACACAAGTTCCCGACATATGAAACGATGTGCTTGATGTCTGCATGATGTAGCACTTCCAGTAGTCGTCCGAGTCAAAAGGATAAAATTTACAGGCCTCTGGAACTTCGGGTTTATACCTCAAATCCAACGGTTGAAATGCTCCGGTTTTGCTAATACTGAAAACCAGGCGAATGCCTAACGTTGACCAGAATGTTAGCAACTGTCACATTTTGTTACAATCAATTTTGTAAAATACGACCCACCCTCGAGGAGAACATCGATATCAGTGGGATCCGTAAATATCCCCAAGTCAAGGCTGACCAATTTCTCATCGTCCACTTCCCCCGCAGCATACGCTTCTGTATTCAGAAAGACACACCCTCGTGATTTTGGTCTCCCAAATTCTACGCGCATCCTGATCTGCAATACAATCCAAATAATCATTAAGGGAACTCAAGAAGAATTTGCATACCTAGTCCCACACGTGAACAAATAAAGGATAATGTTTATGAAACAATTTTACTTCAGAAATAATTTGCTAACTTTCGTATCTCCTGTTTGATTCGCTATAAATAAAACCTCGTAGTAGAAAGTGTTCCACCTGGGACATGCAGTTCGCACCCAGTTCAAGAATGTCAGCTTTAAGCTTACTTTCCAATTCTTTTGAAAGCTAAAAGCTAGGAGTTGGCAGTAGATTACTGTCACAATATAAAACTGTGTCCAGCTTTGCTCTAATATACATAACTCTACCTATTTAAATATCCAGCTCTATGGTAAACATACCTGGGTTGCATTTATCGCAAGTCCGGCTAGATCATTCATTTGAAAAAACAAATGATAATCAGGCCAATTCCCTTCATTGTCTCGTTTCGCACGAGACGAGACGATAAACGCTTGATGCACATTTTCCGTGCTAAACGCTCCCGTTTTTATAGGAGCTTGGAACTTGATAAGTTCATCTTGCATGCCAGATTCTGTGAAGAATGGATAAAGGGTTTGGGCGGCGGAGGGGTTTTGAATCTGAAATTTGAAATGTATGTCGGCATGATCCAGGAGATTTTGGCCCACTCCGGGGAGATCTTGGACGATTGGGATCTATGTGAATAGATTTAAGCACACTCTTAAAAATAATGTTACCCTTTTCTAAATTAAATGCAGTCTCAATTCCAAATTATGAGAACAATTTATGGTTTATCAAGTTAACGTTACTGTCAACTGTGGATTTATCGTGGTATCGTTTACGTAATTTAAGATTAACTTTGTTAATTTAGTCTTGAAAGGGGTAACATTATTTTTAAACGTGTTTTATATTTAAGCTTTAGACAATTTGACGGTTTAAAATAAATATTTACATTGGCGGCGCGGAGAGTTTGTGAAGGGCCGATGCCGGATTTCATGAGCATTATTGGCGAAAGTATGGCTCCCGCAGAAACGATAACTTCTTTCGAAGCGTGAGCAATTTGTGGAATTCCGTGTCGCAAATATGTTACACCGTACGCGACTTTGTTTTCATCAATTAGAATCTTACGCAGTTTAAAATCAAATTCGTTGTTAAATAAGATTATGCATAATTAGAATCTATGGAATGTATACCTTTTGAACTTGAGAATATCGCAGCACTCTCAAATTAGGCCTGGTCTTTTCAACCCCTTGAATAAAAGCGGTGTAGGAACTAGCACGTAAAGAATTCTTAGTCGATAACATCACTGGGGAGAAGGCTGAGGTTATATTTCAAAAATTGCAGAATTTCATAAAACAATTCCAAAAATTTGAAAATTATGGAAGCCAAATAAATATTCACCCTCAATCTGGAACGCGTTTGTATCTGCCGTCTGAAATCCTAATTCCCTGCCGGCCGCTAGCCAAAGTCCAAGCGTTGGTCCGTGCGACGTAGTAACAGAAATGGGTCCATTCGTACCGTAAAAATCTAATTGTATGTTATTGCTTACTTTTTTATTTCTTTGCCAAAAATCTAGGGAACGTCCGCATACTACGTCATCAAAAAGGTGGGTAATTGGTTTTGAGTAGCCTGTCTTACTCGTATTGAGTTTAACATGAGTAGGGAAGTGGTGAGCGGGTGGTTTAAAAATCCGCGTTTTTTTATGACGTAATGTACATATGGACGTTCCCAGAGTGAAAAGTTTTTAACAACCTCTTTGATCTTCATTGATTAAAAGTCCACTAAAACTTTCAAGTCTTTTAAAATGGTGGATAACATTTAGATAACTCCAACTCGGGTCTTGCGTAATGCTTGCAAATTGATCGTAGTCGTGTGGAGAGCCACGATTGTAGTAATTGTTGTTATGCGATCCCGAGCCGCCCATCATTCTCCCATGTGTGATGTTTAACACCTAATAAATAAATCGAAAACAAAATTAACCAAGTTCAGAAAGGATGAAAAAATTTCTAAAATTTTTGAGCACCCCGCCATTTTCCAATGAAAAGTGTTGCTGTTTGGACTGGAATTGGTAATTGATAGCAGGATCGATAATAAATTGATTTGTCCAGACGAAAGTATTCACAGCGGGAGGTGGATTTCCGCCCGTTTCTAGCAGTAAAACCCTGAAATATTGGGAGAGCCTGCCCGCGAGAAGGCATCCCGCTGCACCAGCGCCTACTGTAAATTAGAGTACTAAAATGCAGGCATATGTCTGGTTGTTGGAATATATAATAAGATTACGGATTACATTATAGGATTATTTATTGGATTACATTTTCGGAGTTTCTACTATTTGTGCTTAAAAGCTGGAAATCTTTCATATGTTCAAACTAGGATTTGTAAGTTTGGATGTTATCTAATTTTTAAATGTTTTAATCATATTTTGAGAAGCAATTATGTGTTTTTAGTTGCTACAACGCACCATTTTCTGTAATTCGAAAATAATCCGTAGTCTATAATCCAAGATATATTTCAAACTTCAGCCGACCAAGCAAATTAATCTCAATCCCGTAATCCCAACAAAATTTTAATGAATTAATCCGTAATCCATCGAAGCTTTTGGGATTACGCATCCTTGTTGTCACCAATTTCTCCTCCTAATCCAAAGTATACAGTTGCTCTTACCGATTATAAAGTCGTACGTTTGTATCCTTGGGAGACTCATGTCTGGTTCCAGCTCCGCCAGAGTCATGTCCAAGTCGTCTTTCCGATATTGCTCGACATATTGCTTTATCATTAACGAAATCGAAGTCAGCACAAAGAGAGAAAGGTTACCCATGATTATTACTGGCAACCAAATTAATACGTAAACTTGAACAAGACAAGGTTAGGTCAAGGGTAACTGAAGACTTCCCTTGGCCTACGTATGTATGTATTTATACCGCTCGTGTCAAACAGATTGTCCTGAAATTTGGTCAACGTGTTTGGTAATTCTGGCGTGTTCTACACCTGAGGAAAATAACACCTTATTTATATAAAACCTACGGAAATACATATTCATGTCTAGTAAACAGAGAGCGGATATGTATTTATTTTCGACTTTTCCATTTTATTTCCAACCAACATGCAATAGCAAAACTTTGTAGACGTGGGCCGCTACTCTTGTCGATAGCAAATTGAAAATATTTTTTGAATATTTCCGATATATGTATAAATGTATAGAAATATTTCTCCATTATGTGAAAACTGAGTAAATATTATGAATATTAAAAAAATATGTAAGTATGTACACATATTTCAAAGGCTTGAGCCAATTTTTTGTTCAAAGAAATTAAATCTGAACATAAAACTCCAGACAATTAATTAAAATTCTTTTTTTTTGTGGATGCATATTTAGATACATACCTATATGTGTGTGTTCCATAAATATTTTGGCATTTTTCATGCATAGGTATGAAATACACATTTCCGGACTTTTCGTAAATATATATCCGCTCTCTGATAATTGTGTAAATGGCGTACAATACTTATAATGCGTATATTTTTTACGAAATTTGTAAGCATATGTATAGTTACATAAAAGTTTCATTGTAGTTACGTAAAAGTATTGCATCTTTAAATATGCCCACCCACCCCATATAAAATGAGCTACTTGTCTGTTAAGAACTTACGTAATATGTGGATTTGTGTATTTAAGTAATTAAATGCCACCTAATTTGTAATTCCTAATTGTCACAAGGTACCCAGTGCACCTTGTGAATGGAGAATTAAATTAGAAACAATACATACTTATGTACCACACTACATATTTAACTGTCGAGGTCGTCGTACGGATTTAGTACTTTAGACATACAAGGAAAAAAATTGGTGCATGCGAATATCGATATTTATATTATATATTATCCGGATCCCGTAAGAGCAGACAAATGTGCAAGGTATTTGTTTGCTTCCAATTGGTTTGACATAATGAGATTAGTGAGGCCATTCGTGAGTGAACCTCCATGTCAAATCTTACGGGAAGCAAAGAAACCCACTGCACATTTGTCTGCTCGCTGTGCTGCTGGTCCGAATAATAACTTACATATATCAGTGAAAATATCCACGTTCACTGTTAAAAATCTGGTGGGTATAGTCACGCTGGTAGATATTGATTTCTCGATATTAAAGCTGTTACCGCTTGGTACTAAAATTATACCGATCCATAAAAAATTTGCTCCGATACTGTAAAACTTTAATACCAAGCTGTTACACGGTATTACAGATAAATACCACTTTGGTGGAGTCATTCATATATGAATACCACTTGGTATTATTTTAATACTGGATTTCTAAGAGTGTGCAGATAGAATTTTCTGATTTCTGTGCGATGCCAAAGGGGAAGACCAAACAAAGGTTTCCTATTGGTCAATTTTACTCTTAATGTCGCACATATATGCATCCTTCAAGGTCTCCTTTAATATTTGAGCGTCAACGGTTTCCCATGTCATTACTTGACGTCCTCCAAAAAAGTGCGATGAGGTGAATAACTTCTGATATAAGGTCATTGCACTAAATAATTTTTGATTAATTGTTTGATGTTATTTCGGATTGTGAAAAACTGATCAGTTAAGCTGATATTGCCATTATTGTTGGCATGCATGCATCTAGAGTGATTTCTTGGCGGAATATCTACAATTGAAATGGATTCGTCACGACCATTTTAGACGTTAATTAGAGTAAGGCGACATATGCACAACGGAAACGATGTGGCAGTTGTGTTACATATTTAATTTAATTTATTTCGTTGGAAACGGTTTATTATCACTATGCACACATATGCTGAAAAAGGACAAAATTAGTCAGAATCTGCTTAAAACCTCTCTGTTTATTAATTAAAATAATCAGTCCCATAAAACGGGTAGTTTTTAATTTTGTGTATGTATGTACATATAATCTTCGTAAGCTCAAGTGGGCCCATTCACAACAAACTTACATATTTCGTATTGAAATACATACATGTATAGTGAAATCTAGAGAGCATGCTCAGTTATGACAGAAAAATTTCTCATCGTTTTCTACAAAAAAAAGTTTTGCCAAATTTTAGAAAATATAATAAAAATTCGTAAATTATTGAAATCCTCACTGCATAAATAAATAAATACAATAAAAGTATTACAACTGAACTATTAAGTCGGAAATGCTTGGAAGGTTATTACATTACACACTTATTTAAATACATTTTAACATTTCTAAAGTATGAACTCGAAAATGACTAACCAACTCGCGAGAAGTGAATAATTTCTTCCCACAAAAGTAACATCCATACCTCGGCGCATCATGACGTATTGTATGTACGGCCAAATATTGTTTCGAGTGGCTTTTGTACTCGCATTTGTCGCAGGAATGGACCAGTTCTTTATTCGTGGCATGCCTCGCCTCCACGTGACCCTTCAAGTTTGATGACTTGGAAAATCTCTTGTCACACAATGTACACGGATAATTCTTCTGATTTTCATGCACAACTCGGATGTGGAGACGTAGCCCTTCCTTGCTGATGAAGGTCTGAGGACAGACGTGACATTGCAGCACTTTTCGGGCGGATTTTTCCAAATGCGTCTTCTGTAAAATTAATATACCAATGGGTAGTTTTTCACCTATTGATTAGAAAATATTTAAGCGCGATGGAATTTCTGCCCGCCAAAAACACGTCCCTATTTGATTAACCTTGCGAAATTCAAGTCCAATCCATCACGCTAAAATATTTTCCAGTCAATATTTTTTCTCACAATATGCGCACATATGTATTTACCTCGTGACCCTTCATGGTTCCCCTGTGGGCGAAACTCTTCCCACAAGTGGCACAATTGTACGGCTTCTCCGTCGTGTGAGTGGGAATGTGTTGCTCAAGTTCAGGCCTAGTTTTGAAGTCCTTTCCGCAAAGCTTGCACGAATGACGGACCGCATTTTCGGCGTGTTCAATTCTCACGTGATGCAAAAGACTACGGATGTGCTGGTAAGTTTTCTCACATCCGGGAAATGTGCAAAGGAAGCGATGTGCTTCGCTCGCGCTGTGAAAGGAGTCAATATGTCGCCGTAAATTCGCAGGGGTGGATAACTCTCGGTGACAAGTGTCACAACTTGGTCGTTTCCGATTGCTGTGAAGTCTCCTCAGGTGAGCAGATAAGTTGCGTCTGTTTTTAAAAACTTTGTTACAAACCTAGATAATACAGAAGTGGGAAAATATGGATTTTCAAATTAAATGAATTCAGCTTTTCAAGTATCTACACCTCGCACCTCACATTTGACGTTAGCATCGGGAGCGTTCATTACCAGGTGGTCAGTCAACTCGTAATTACTTTTAAACGCTTTTGAGCCCTTTGAACAATCCCACTTCTTGTCTGGCTTTAGATCCATATTTCTCTGTTGAGTTTGCAGACTTTTATTCGTAAAAGACTGGTGTCCTTAAACGAGTTCAATTTATTGTCCGTAAGAGAAAATTCACTACTATTCACACATTAGTTTTGTCAACAATTCACACATTTTAAAAGCATCCACCTGCATGAAACGCTGTTCCAGGAATTTTTAACAATGGCAATATTGATTATGTAAATATGTAAATTGTTTACAATTTAATTATTAATTTACCGCACTGTGGTAACCGCAGTGTCAATGTAAAAAACAACGCGTACGTACTTAATTGTCAGATGGGGTGTAAAATTACAGGAAATTTCAATCGCTTTGACGCTGGGTAAGTGTTTCTGTTCGTTTGCAACGGTTTATATGAGGCGTAAAATATAAATATTTATCTAACGAATGTATGTACTTATGTAGGTGTTAGGTAAGGACTGTTGAATTTTTAACTTAATTAAACAAAGTTATTTGAAATTATTAATTGGCTTAGTATGAGAAAATTATATAGATGCTTAAAGTTCGGATGGCAGCGAGTTACTTGGTGCCAGTTCGTGGTTTAATGTGAACACGACTGGAATTGAGAAGGGTCGAAAATGGTTGAAGTACTTCAACTGTCTACTTAGACAGTTTATCGTAGTCGTGGTGGAACGGATTGAAAATAAAATTCCTGGAAATTCCTCCCAAATTTTGTGTGATTTTGTGATCGAATTTATGCTTATGCCAGTAATATCAAATAGGAAATAAATATTTATTTATGCACCTTGTGTTATTACACATTTGCCTAAAATTTCGAAATATTTAAGTAATGGAGATTGTGTTTTATTTTCATTTATTTGTTATTCGTTTGTTTTACTTTTGAGAAACTTTAGCAGAATTTGTATTTGTCATAATTGCGGAAATAATAAAACTTGCACTTAAACACGTTACGCTCGCTAGGAATGGAAAATGGAAAATCTGTAACATACCTATACATAGTTTCGAAATCTCTTTAGTCCATTTTTTCAAGTGCATTATATGTAAAATAAATAGCACGCCGTGATTGAATCTTTGAACCCGTTGGCGAAACTCTATCCAAAATTCAAAATAGATGGCAGGATTTATGTATGATCCGCACAGGATGGTTGGCTATTTTTATCCAGGAATTTGTCAAGTTTTCACTCGTTGTTATGGTCGATAAAACGCAACCTTTTCCACACGAACCCAACATTAACATGTTTATTCGATTTACTTCTACGTGCTCTATTACTCTTAAACAACACATTAGCAATAAATAATTAAGCAATCATACACGGTAAGAAACTAAATATTTACATATCTACTTACAATACAATAAGTGTAACATTTCTATTTCCAATCAATCTTATTTAAATATTCTAATTTCTAAAAAATGGAATTGTCCAAGTTGTGTGGCTTCATTCGTAAGTAGTGGAAAAGATGATGCTGTAACTATAAATTATGACAAGCTATTATTGAAATTAGTGAGAATATTGAACCATTTATGCTATCAAGATACCTTTGCCTGGATATAACCACCTCCCTTATGGAAATTCATATGCGGGTAACGGGTACCCGACCCGTTACCCGCGGCAACCCTACTAAATACCCATACCAAAGGGAGGGCGGCCTGTTGGATACGAATTTGACCTTGAATAACCCCGGAACGGTTTGTCGTAGCGGGTCAAAATTTTGAACAGACGAGCATGTTATCCTCAGATAGTTGTGTGTAAAATTTCAGCCTTCTACTTTGAAAAATGCCTGCCCCACATCCCCCAGAAGCTGAGACAGTTATTTCGAATAGTTCCAGAAAAAATCTCGCCCGTGTTTGCAAAAAATTTTATTTGAATATTCTGTTGAGGAATAGAAGTGAGCTATTGGTGACAATTGACGAAGAACTATTTTCCCTACAAGTTACTAATTGGGTTCGAAGAGCTTACTACACGACAAATGCCGAAAAAATTCAAGAAATTTGGTGCTTTTCAGTGAGGAGAACTTTTTTAAACAGTTGATGGTCGTGGGTGCAATGTCCTGTCGTGGTGTCCTCCCACTTATCAAAGTCCCCCAAAAAGTGAAGGAATCTTCGAAGTATTATGTGGACCTTGTACTGAAACCACTTTTAGAATACAATTTTCCTAATTTGCACGGTAAAATAATAATTAAGGTGATTTTTCATCATGACGGAGCGTCCTCCCAGACGGCAAAGTTGACCCAAGATTATGCAAATGACCTTGCACCTAGATTGGGGATAAAAATCATTTCGAATAGTGAAATACCTATACAATCCCCTGATATAAGTCAAATCGACTTGTTTGAGTTCGGATAGATGAAAACAAAATCTTTCTGTGGGGACCGAATTTTGTAGACGGAGTTTGGAAAAAGTTGAAATGAGTGTCTAAACTTCTGGGGGCTGTGGGGGAGGCATTTTTGAAAGTAGAGAGTTGAATTTTTGCACACAACTATCTGAGGATAACATGCTCTTCTGTTCAAAATTTTGACCCGCTACGACAAACCGTTCCGGGGTTATTCAAGGCCAAATTCGTATCCACCAGGCTGCCCTCCCTTTGGTATTTACATATCTACTTACAATACAAGTGTTTTACGTGTACAACTCACAAGGGACACTCACGACCTGTCGTTTGAGTCCAGGGTACCCACTATGTTTTTCAGAATCTACTAGGACCCCAGATGAAGGATTCATTCATATTTCCGTGTAAAACTCATATTTGGCGCCATGGCGTGGCGCCAAATTCGCCAAATTTGCATGTTTTTATTTTTGAAACCGCCATAACTTTTGAAAACCTGTACGGATTTTCAAAATTTTTGGCAAAAATCATGACAAGGAGTTCAACTTTCGTATCCAATGAAATTTTTTCCAAAATTATCACTTTTAACTTTTCGCAAAATTTCGTAATTTTCTTATAAATGGGGGTTCGTCGAAAAAATGCTAAAAATATTTCAAAAATTAGAAATTTTTTATTTTTATTTTTTTCTCAAAAATTTCGACTTTTGTGATCATTTTAAGTATAAAATTTTGAAAATCCGACATAAACTGCAAAAGTTATGGGGGTTTGAAACTGGTCGAAAATGCAAATTTTGAAGTTTGGCGCCACGCCATGGCGCCAAATATGAGTTTTACACGGAAATATGAATGAATCCTTCATCTGGGGTCCTAGTAGATTCTGAAAAACATAGTGGGTACCCTGGACTCAAACGACAGGTCGTGAGTGTCCCTTGTCAGATCGGGTTGGGACTAATTTTATTTTGTTCACCACAAAAAATAATCGTACCCGTATTTTTTCATTTTTCCTAATGCGCTAATTTGAGCGCGAGGCGCGAATTTTAAAACATTTTTCAGCCAAAACCTCGCTTTTTAAAAATTATGTAAATTTTCGAATTTTAGCGTGAATCCAAAAATTCAAAAACATGTCTCTTCAGAATGACTTACTTGACTTATAAAAAATCCAAACGCATTATTTTTTGAAAAATTCAAAATTTGAAAGAATTTACAATTTTAATGAATTTCAAAAGCTGGCAAAAAATTTTGAAATTTATATTTCGAGACAATTGGATTTTTCATAAGTTAGGTAAGTCATTTCGAAGAGACATGTTTTCGAATATTTGGATTCGCGCTAAAATTCGAAAATTTACAGAATTTTTAAAAAGCGAGGTTTTGGCTGAAAAATGTTTTAAAATTCGCGCCTCGCGCTCAAATTAGGGCATTAAGAAAAATGAAAAAATACGGGTATGCTTATTTTTTGTGGTGAACAAAATAAAATTAGTCCCAACCCGATCTGACTTGTACACGTAAAAGACTTGCATTGTTAGTTCAAAATTCATTTGTTGTTATATAAATATAGCATTGCTGGAAACATTCCACGTTAATTAATGCTACCAAAATGTGTGAATCGTGGCTTGCCACCAAATTGTATGAATATTTATTACGAATTTTTTTCACAGACACCAAATTAAAGGCGTTTAAGCACATCAATTTTTGGAGAAACTACGTAAATTAAATACACTCAGCCAAAACGGAATCCACATGGATCTGATTCCAGGAAAGGAATGGGAATGTGCAAAGTGCTCAAAAACTTTTGATACTTTTGACGTATTGGCCAGACACGTGGTCACGCACGATCCCAATGCCACGCTGAAGTGTGAGGTGAGGGTGTAAATTTGCAAAAGTGAAAAATAATTTTGCAGCCCAAATTTTCCCATTTTTGTCTTCTTGTCTAGGTTTGCAGCAAAATTTGCAAAATAGACGCGGCTTATCATGACAGGTGTGGAGAATTCACACCAAACGGCAACGACCAAGTTGTCCCACTTGTCACGGCTTGTTTTAAGACTCCACCGCTTTACGCAGACACACCGAAGCCTTCCACGGAACAAAGAATATACAGTCAATGGAACAAGTATTGGCAACACCCACACAAGCTAAATAAAATTGCCTATAACTTTGGCATGCATTATCAAATTAGCATGCAAATTTGTACGCAATTAGCAAATCTAATGTAGTTTTCGATTATAATCATGTTTTATTGATTAAAATTGGATAAACACAGTTTTTAAATAATTTGTTGGAAAATATGTAAAATTAACCCGCAAAAAGTATTGGCACCCTATAACTTATAAAATCATAAATCAAAGAATCGCCAATTTTATTACGTCACACTGCTTCTAATGTTACGCGGCACCTCCCCTCGACGCAATAAGAGCATAAATAGGCCGTTGAATTGATTCGACAAGGTTCTTTATAACGTTTTTTTATATGGTTGGCCACACTTGTTTCGAACTTTTGACAAGCTCGTTTTTCATCGAGTGGTTTCCCACCGGTCTCTCTTTTCGCAGCCCAAATAATCAGAATGACATCAGGAGACTGTGCAGCCAACGAAAGAAGCTTAACCTTTTCGGTCTCCAAAAACTTGCATCCTTAATTGGGGTAGCTGTTTTGGGTCACTGCATTTTTGGAATATAAAATTCCTCCCCAGATCAGGTTTTTATCAAATAATTTCAAATTATCGTTTGGAATGATTAATTAGACCTCCCTGGTCATGATTTTATCGATAATGACCAGGTAAACACGCCGCCACCTAGTCATTTAACCCCAAACCATAATCGATCCTCCTATCTGTTAAACTGCCATACGAACGTTTTCGTATTTCTGAGCCTTTTATGGCATCCGCCAGACTTGAACCAATTAATGAGCTCCGAATAAGTAAAATATGCCTATGTCGTACCAGTAGATTTTATTTCATTCATTGGAAGTCAATTGAGGCTTATATTTAGCCCATCCCAATTTATTGAGGTGGTTCGCTTTGGGGACTCTCTCGTCGGTCGGGCTACTGGAGCCTGAAACCCCAAGGCATAATTTTTTAGTGAACATCAAAATTGAATGATATGTTTGCCCACAGTTAGTACTGCAATTCAACATGGATTTGGGGGCTAAAATCTTCCGATCTCGAGTGAGTATCATTGAGTTTTGGTTTTCCGTGCATGCAGACGTTTACACAGGAGCAGATTGAGAGTTAACATTGCGGTAGATTGAGGAAAACTCGATATTGCTCATCGGTCTCTATAAAATCTGGGGGTGGTCCCAGACCCAATAAAGTATATATATTCTGAATCCTCCCACCAAGACCTTTCCAACGATACCCCACTTATGGGGTTATGTGAGACTTTGCCTGGTGACCTTTTTCGTTTGTGCGAAAAACTTGTTGACCTTGGAAAAATTTAAGAATCCTTAACGAATCTGATAGTACAAGTCAGTCTGATCAGTTTTTATCAAATGTGAAGAAAATCTATCGGGGATTGTTGAAATGCGGGCTATTTAAAAAATGGTGATGGATGAGCCAACTTTGTAACTTGACCTCATGTCATTTTGAGGTCAAGGAGTACGGGTAGGGCCTAGCGCTTCAGGATGACCCAAAAGCATACCGCGGGGATTGTCCATGCGAAGTTTGACCGCTGTGGGCCTACTGGTTGCTTCACAATCGAGGGAGAAAGTTGTCAAGTTTTGTCGAAAAAGGCAGTGCTTTCCCCCATACCATTAGACGGACGAGGACGTGGAAATTTTAAAAACTGTCTAAATCGAATAGTTCGGACCCGCTGAGCAGGTTTTTGAGATAAAACAGCAGAAAATAAAATATGACCTTTTTTACCGGCGATAGCTGATGGAAATCGTCGGTTAAGAAAATTGTGTCGAGTAACTAATTTAGCCACATGTTGCCAATACTTTTTGCAGGTTCGTACCTGACTAGTTAGGGTCAAAATTTGGATTGCGTTATGTTTACTAGGTTTAAATCGGAAACACGATTATAATCGAACACTACATTAGATTTATCAAATGTGTTCAAAGTTTCACGCTAATTTGATAACGCATGCCAAAGTTATAACCAATTTTATTTAGCTTGCGTGGGTGTTGCCAATACTTTTTCCATTGACTGTATACAGTGAACAACCCCTTTTGTCATGTAGATTTCTCGGCTGTGAGAAAACCTTCTTGAATAAACGCCAACTTACGAGACACGTAAAAGCTGAACATGCCGATATTCCGGTCCGATTTCCGTGTACACTTTGCGGGAAAGACTTCAAAACTAGGACTTGCCTTGACCAACACATTCTCACTCACACGACGGAGAAACGGTAGAATTGTACCACCTGTGGGAGGGGTTTTACCCAGAGGCCACACCTGAGACGTCACGAGGTAGATAAGCATCTTGTATAATAAGCTTGAAAAATAACCAACGTGCGTATTAATCTTACAGACAACGCATTTGAAAAAATTTCGCTATCACGTCTGCCCACAGGCCTTCTTAAGTTTGAACTATTTACAAAGCCACATCCGAGTTGTGCATGGAAATCAGAGGGATTATCCGTGCACATTTTGTGATAAGAGTTTCTCAGCCGCAGGAAGTTTGAAGCGTCACGTGGAGACGAAACATGCGACGAATGAGGAGCTGATCCATTCCTGCGACAAATGCGAGTACAAGAGCCACTCGAAATACTATTTGGCTAATCATAAAAGAAATCACAATGCTGGGAGGTATGGATTCTACTTTTGTGGGAAGAAATTTATCGCTTTTTACGTGTTGGTCGAGCATTATCGAAGGCATACTCTAGAATAATTAAAATAGTGAATATATATCTGAATAATTTACGAATCTTTTTTTTACTAAATTATTACCATGTAGCAAAACTTTTGGTGGAAAACCGTAAGATTTTAATTACAAAGTTATGTAGTAACTGGACATTTATTAGATTAGCAGATCGCTAGAATATTTCACAAACGAAATAAATTTATGCGGACCGAAGTATCGTTATTTCGAACAAAAATACTTGCTAGGCAAAATTTCCTGATGAAAGGTCAAAGTGGACTGTATTTCTGAAAATTTCTTTATTTAAATTTATTAACATGTACACAATTTCAAAAATTTGTTGAGAAGTAGAAGTAGGACATATTTAATTTTTAAATATTTATTTAAGTAAACTTTATTTTTTTAATATGAACTTGGCTTACGCAAATAAAAATATACACTTATTATAAACTTTTATATGCTAAATTGTGTAACAACCAGGGAATTGGAAATAAATATTTATTTCAGACGCAGACTGTATGTATATACAGTATAGGCGGGAAGTCTTTCCACCCTTATAATTTTTTCATTTAACGCGTTATATTTCTCGAGAAGCTTGAGGAAATGAACTGCAATTTTGCACAAGTACTTATCATGATGCAAGGTTTTCGGAACCATACTTTGGATAACGGCGTGGCACAGGAAACGACAGGGTGAAATTATATACAAAATTCCGACTGGAAAAAGTCTTTCCACCCAGACTAAAGTTTAATGTAACATTCATTTTAAATTTTTGTTTGTTATGTAATATTAAAATTATCATTTGAAATGTTCACCCAGGTCCTCTAGGAAGGCAATAATACCTTTAGGGGTCAACACAAAAATTAAGATTGTGTATGAGGTGTCTAAATTCTCCAATTCAAATTTAACGGCGTCCCCTAGTCCATTCGGGTTTGATAGTTTTTGCTACGAAATTTTAGGCTTCATAATTGACAACAAATGTTCATTAGCATTCCGTCCGGTGAGTTTAGAGTACAATCCAACAATTAAATCTTGTTTGTTGTAAATCTACTTCTCAAAAACTTTGATCTATGCTTAAATTCACCATTCTGTTTGAAATAAAATTGTCACCACGCGGTAATTTCTCGCGTCACCATCAAATTCGAACCCCTAATCTCGCAACGGCAGTTTAGGTCCTTGATTCCTTTGATTATCTCAAAATTTCCGATGCCCTTCTACGACGTTCACGCCCATACGTTTCGGTTTTCACCCCCATGCTTAACGGTTTATTTACGGTACTTAGTTTTGTCTGTATCTCCTGGTCACCTCCTTATCCGAGTGACCCGATCTGAACCAAACAAGTTGGTCTTGGTCTAGTCGCTCCATGTTGTACATTTCCAGTCTTGAATGTATCGATTTCGATACTTTTTAGCCAATTTCATAACCTTGATCATATGGGCCTAGGAAATAAATTTTTTTCCGCACTGCTGGGTCTTTAAATCCAACTTATTCTACCCAATTCTTTACATAGTCCGACCATAAGTTCCCGTGAATGCATTTCCGGTGATAAAGCCCAAAGTATTAGAGCTATCTGATAGAAATTTTTGTGGATGAACAAGGTATTAATCTTGTTTAGAAATCATAACTTCGTTTTCACAATTTCCTCCACGGGCTTGTACACAAGACATAAGTCGTGGCGAAAACTGCTCGATCGCGGCACGCACGGATTTCCTGGGAAAAGCGCCAGATCTTCAGTAAGTGCGACCTCAGCCCTTCCACACTTGGGTGAAATTTAGAGCATACTTGTACCTATAATTTGACCACCAGTCATAATTTAGGGGATTAAGGTCTGCAGATACTGAGCACGGAACTGAGCACTGAGCTACGGATGAAAAAAAGTCATGAAAATTCGTCTGAAGCCAGTTTTGGACAATTTTGCACCTTGCGCATGAGCAGATTCTTGTTGAAAGGTCCAATGGCGATTTTCGGAGGGTCCAGGGTTCAGGTTATTAACGTTTGTCTCTAGGACACTCTGAAAATAATTCTTGGCTTCAACTTGTACCCTTTGCGGTAAAAAACAGAGATTTCATTTCTCCAGCCAACTTGCTCCCATGCACACCACGGTGATGACTTCGTATTGACTTCCGCATACTTAAACGGATGTCAGACTTCTGTACAACAAATATCTGGCCTTTTTTTCTATTAAATTTTTTGCCAACGGTGAAAAGTCTGAAATACTTTTGGCACGAAAATTGGCGCGTACCACGATCGACCTGTGGCCGCCACGAGTTATGTCTTGTCTAATTGCCCGTGGACGAAATCTTGACAAAGAAGTTATGATTTCTAAACAATATTAATACCTTGTTAATCCATAAAAATTTCGAACAGATAGCTCTAATACTTTAGGATTTATTACCGGAAATGCATTCACGAGAACTTATGACCCCACTATGTACAGTTCGCACAGAAATTTGAAGGTCGTAGTTTTCCTTCGTTTCCAGTTAGTTTTTGGTGCTGCAGCCGAGTTTTTAGCTGAATTGAGGAGAGGATGGCGTGATCGATCCTTGGGTCCGTCATGCTTGGCGGTCCATAAGCTAGGAATTTCGCCGCCGTACCAATTTTTTTGTACTTTTGGACTATTCTGCCAACTGTCTACTTCATAACGAGTAGCTTATCATAAATTGTTTAGTATCGAAACCCCTCCTCACGAAATTTTACGACATCTTGCCCAAGATCTGTGACTAGGCGATTTACTCTCATTATGAGCTAATATTAATAACAATCAATAATTTGAACATTATACAAACGTTATTTTTCAAATAATGATATATCCCCTACTGGGTGAAGAACAATTTTCATGAATCTTTTTAAGAATTACACAAAAACAACGAAAATGTCAAAAGGTGGAAAGACTTTTTTCCAGTCGGAATTTTGTATATAATTTCACCCTGTCGTTTCCTGTGCCACGCCGTTAACTAAAGTATGGTTCCGAAAACCTTGCATCATGATAAGTAATTGTGCGAAATTGCAGTTCATTTCCTCAAGCTTCTCGAGAAATATAACGCTTTAAGTAAAAAAAATTATGTGGGTGGAAAGCCTTCCCGCCTATACTGTATGTATAAGGTCACATATCTTACTCGTGTCAAACTTATGCTTAACCTAAGCAAATTTGTAACAAAAATATTATGGTTGTTTACGAAAAGGTTTTGCTAGAATAAAATTATATAAATACCAAAAACCCCACCAACGCTTAATTTGGCCAGTTTTTGGTACTATCAAAGTGATATACATATGTAAACAATTTCATATTATCACTAAATTGTGACATACCGTAAAGACTCTATTTATAGCCGGGTCTTGAGCCCTAATTATGACATTCCTTTAATGTCCGTTTTTAGATGCTTCAAGTTATGCATAACCGAAAAAAAATTTACCCCGGTCTCTAATTATACCCGGTTTGAAATTGTAGTCGGATTTGTGTCGGCTTTAGACCCGGCTATAAATAGAGTCTTTACGGTATGTATATATGCTCATATTCCATTTAGCTATTAGTCGAGTTCTTGATATGCCCATTACGTTCATAAGTATTTAAACTTTTCCAGAGTATGAATCCGAAAATGTTGGACCAACTCTTGAAAAGTGACGAATTTCTTCCCACAAAAGTAACATCCATGCTTCGCTGAGCTGTGACGGATTATATGAGCGGTGAAATTGTGCTTCGAGTGGCTCCTGTACTCGCACCTGTTACAAGAATGGATCAGCTCTTTGTTCTCAGCATGTCTCGTCTCCACGTGGCGCTTCAAGTAAAATGGCTTGGAGAATCTTTTACCACAAATAGAGCACGGATAATTCCTCTGGTTTCCATGCCCAACTCGGATGTGGTATTGTAGACCATCCTTAGTTATGAAGGTCTGAAGACAGAGGTGACACTTTGACACGTCTCGGGCAGATTTTTCTACAGTCAATGGAAAAAGTATTGGCAACCCCCACGCCAGCTAAATAAAATTGGCTGTAGCCATGGAATGCATTATACAATTGGCACGAAAATTTGTACGCATTTAGCAAATATAATGTAGTTTTCGATTATAATCATGTTTTATTGATTAAAATTAGATTAACACAGTTTTTAAACAATTTGTTGGAAAATGTGCAAAATTAACCCGCAAGAAGTATTGGCAACCCTTAACTTAAAAAATTATAAATCAATAAAACGCAAATTTTATTGCGACAAACTGCTTCTAGTAATACATATCACCTCCCCTCGACACAATAAGAGCAGAAATACGCATTGTAATTGATTGGAAAAATCTTTTTATAACGCTTTTTAACATGTCTGCCTAATCTTCGTTTGAAATTTTGTCCAGCTCGTTTTTTGACGAGTGGTTTTCCATCAGTCTCTCCTTTCTCAACCCAGACAATCAGATTCACATCGGTAGACTGTGCAACCAACGAGAGAAGCTTAACCTCGTAGATCCCCAAAAACTTGCATTGCTAATTTGGCTACATGTTTGGGGTCACTGCATTTTTGGAACATTAAATTCCTTCCTAGGTCAGGTTTTTGCAAAATAATTTCAAATTATCGCTTGGAATGATTATTTAGACCTCATTGGTCATAACTTCATCGATAATTACCAGCTAACTACGCAACGACCTAGTCATTCAACCCCAAACCATAATCGATCCTATTCCGAGCTTGACTCCCAGACGGCAGCATTCATATTTGAGGGCCTCATTTTGCATCCTCCAAACTCTAACCATCGAACCCGCACCGAATAAGTTAAATTTACTTATGTGAGACCACTAGACCCTTCTTCATCCGTTGGAAGTCT